CCCCCCCCCCCCCCCCCCCCCCCCCCCGCTTCTTGGCTCTCCTGGCTCTTAGCAGAGTCTCTCTGTATTGAAGTGTGCACTTGGAGAAAATTAAGAGTGCTCAAAGCAGGTGCGAGGTGCTTAGATGCTGCCACTAGGTATCCTGGAATTCGAGCATGGTTCTGTATTTTTGTGTTGGAACTTTGCAGAGGCTTATTAGATGGGATGGTGAGGGTGTTTGTTCCTATTGCACCACTGAAGTTCAAAGTCTTAGTGCAGGACAGACCAGAGTGAAGTGCTCCCCCCCCCCCCCCAAGAAAGCTTTAAATAACAAGGATACAGGTGAAAGAAAGTAGGAGGTTTGAAGAGGTACAGATCTCTGGTAGTTCTGATTATAAATGATGGAAACAGCCAGCATTATTCCTGTGATCCACTGGCAGCTTCCAAGAAACCAAAGCCCACCAGGTGGTGATAGCTGGGGTGTGGCTCCAAAGATGATCTGAAAGGCACTGCAGTGGAGTCTGCTATTTGACTTAGTCTAGACCAGTGGTCGGCAAACTCATTAGTCAACAGAGCCAAATATCAACAGTACAACGATTGAAATTTCTTTTGAGAGCCAAATTTTTTAAACTTAAACTTCTTCTAGCGCTACTTCTTCAAAATAGACTCGCCCAGGCCGTGGTATTTTGTGGAAGAGCCACACCCAAGGGCCCAACAGCCGCATGTGGCTCGCCAGCCGAAGTTTCCCAGCCACAGGTCTAGACAACCCCACTTGACTCCGGCCGGGACAGGATTGCCATGGGTGGCGATGTGTGGCATTTTACTTGCAGAGTTTTTTTGGCTGGCTTATTGATAACCGAAGGAACTTGTGTGCTAACTATTTTGGTTATGCCAAGTTCTCAGTATACCTCAACTTCAACAAGTGGCTTTCCAGCTGGTGCCAGCAGCCATTAAATCCATTAGTGATGGGATTGGATTGCAATTATTCTGCATTAAGGAGTTCCCTGTGCGAGTAGATCAAAAGGTTGCATTAAGTCCCTGTTTCTTGTACACACTGCCTGTTGCCCCTCAGATTGTCCACTTGGGGTTGGCACTTGACCCCAGCAGGTTCTAGAGAAGATGGTCTAAACGAAAGTTGCAACCAGATTTTGGGTTGGTGGTCCTGCAGGAAGCGATTGAGGAGTGAGTGAGAGCATGCTGGATCTGTTGTGATTCCTTCTGTGTGATTACTTCTCCCTATGTATTGTGTTATCCCTTTCAAGAAGAGATGTCTTCTTGCCAGCGGTGGTCCGTGTTCCCAAGAGCTACTTGGGATGGCTGTTGCCCTCTAACTACGTCCAGTAGCCCTGTGCCACTGGATTTTTCTTGGCAGTGGCTTCTGGCTTGCCTCTCCTGGCCTGCCATCTTGTTCTTGGGGTATTCTTCGCCTACCCCCAATTGCATGTGCTCACCTGTGTCTTTCTCTCTCCCCCTCTGATAGAGTGAGAGAAAGCTAAAGGGAAGTCCCTGCTGTTACTGCTATCACTATGTTAAGTCCCTAGATATAGACTGTAAACTGTTGATTTTAGTTTGACTTTAAGTTTTACGGTGTTAGATACTTTTATATTCTTTTTTGTTGTTCTTGATGACACAATTACAGATGTCCCTCATTCTCCCCCACCTCCTTTGCCCACCTCCATCCATCCCCACTACCCCTACCCTGATTGATCTCTGTGGACTTAACTTTATTTTTAATTTAATCTTTTTCAGATTATTACAATAGTTTCTCCCCCCTCCCCCCCCGCATGGCTCCCCTCCACCAGGTTCCCACCCCACCTTCTGTCCTTACATCACCTGAACTATCCTCATCCATAAGTGTACAATTTTTGTCCAGTCTCTTCCTCCACCCCCATACTCCTTTCTCCCTGAGAATTATCAGTCCACTCCCTTTCTGTGCCCCTGATTCTATTATATTCACCAGTTTATTCTTTTCCTCAGATTTTTAATTCACTTGGTTTTTGGGTTCATTTGTTGATAGATATGTATTTGTTGTTCATAATTTTCATCTTTACTTTTTTCTTCTTCCTCTTCTTAAAGAATAGCTTTCAGCATTTCATATAATAATAGTTTGGTGGTGATGAACTCTTTTAGCTTTTTCTTATTTGTGAAGCTCTTTATCTGACTTTCCATTCTGAATTATAACTTTGCTGGGCATAGTAATCTTGGTTGTAGGTTCTTGCTATTCATCACTTTGAATATTTCTTGCCACTCCCATCTGGCCTGCATAGTTTCTGTTGAGAAATCAGCTGACAAATGTATGGGTGCTTCCTTGTAGGTAATTAACTGTTTTTCTCTTGTTGCTTTTAATATTCTCTCTGTCTTTTGTCATTGGCATTTTAATTATGATGTGTCTTGCTGTGGTCCTCTTTGGATTCCTTTTGTTTGGGGTTCTGAGCACTTCCTGGTCTTTTAAGTCTATTTCTTTCTCCAGGTGGGGTAAATTTTCAGTCACTGTTTCTTCAAATAGGTTTTCAAGTGTCTTGCTCTCTCTCTTCTTCTGGCACCCCCATAATTCTGATGTTGGTACTCTTGAAGTTGTTTCAGAGGCTTCTTAAAATATTTTCAACTTTTTGGATTCTTTTCTTTTCCGGTTCAGTGTTTTTGCTTCTTTGTATTTCAAAACTTTGACTTGATTCTTGCATTCCTCTAGTCTGCTGTTGGGTCTCTGTATAATATTTTTTATTTCAGTCAGTATATGTTTAATTTCTAGTTGGTCCTTTTTCATATCCTCAAGGGTCTGGCTAAATTTATCGGCTTTTTCTAGGAAATTCTTGAAAAACTTTATAACTGTGGTTTTGAATTCTATATCCAGTTGTTTATTTTCCTCCGTTTCTTTTGTTTGTGATCTGTTACTTTGTCTTTGCATTTTCGCTGCTTCCCTGAGTTGGTAGAGTAGCTTTGTTTGCTAAGTTTCCTATATGGCCCAGTGGGTCAGCCTCGCCAGTCACCTGAGGTGGACACACTTGGTGCATCCCTTTGTGGTCTGTGTGTACAACCTTGTTGTAGTTAAGTCTTAATTGTTGTTGGTATCACTGGGAGGACTTGACCTCCAGACCAATTGGCTATGTGCATCAGCTGTGTCTACGTTGGGAGACCTGTGCTGGAGATAGCCTTATAGGACCAGACTTGCAAAATTGCAAAAGCCTCTGTGCTCAGCTTGGATGGGGTGGAATCTCAGAGCTGAGCAGACAGTCTTGGCTTCTCACCAACCCTGCCCTTGCACGCGTGCCTCTAGACCTCTGCCTTCTGTACTCCCATGAGTTTCCACCTGACAGTCCAGATTCTCCAGGCTCGCCCGGAACTGGGGTTCAGTGCAATTGGAACTGGGGTTCAGTGCAGTCAGGAGCTTCCAACTCCCTTCAACTAGGAAGAGCTAGCAGCAACCTCAGCAGTCAGTCATGCGTGCACTCGTGCGCACGCTGGTCTCTGGACCTCTGCCCGCCGCAGCTTCCGCTCCAAGTCTCTGTGTGCCTTTCTCTCTACCTGACAGCCCAGACTACCCCATATGAGCCTGAGTCCATGGCGCTTCGCCCAGAACTGGGTTCAGTGTAGTTGGAGTCTTCCTTCCCTCTCCCTCCAAGCACTCACCTGCCCTTTCTCTCTGTGTGTATCTCCATACCTCAGTCCTTTGCAGTTCCTCTGATTTCCCCTGTTCTTTCTTTTTTCCTTCTAGTTGTAGAATTTCATCTCAGCCAGCTTTCCTGTGGTTCTGGGTGGTGTACATTCTGTCTTTTTTAAAAAATATATATTTTATTGACTTTTTACAGAGAGGAAGAGAGAGGGGTAGAGAGTTAGAAACATTGGTGAGAGAGAATCATCGATCAGCTGCCTCTTGCACACACTCTACTGGGGATGTGCCCGCAACCAAGGTACATGCCCTTGACCGGAATCGAACCTGGGATCTTTCGGTCTGCAGGCCAATGCTCTATCCACTGAGCCAAACTAGTTTTGGGCATTCTGTCTTTTAGCTGTAGTTTTGAAATTGTTGTGGAAGGCAGCAGTTTAAGTTTTTATCTATGCCACCATCTTGGTTTCTCTGTGGACTTAACTTTAAAATGTTAGGGCACTAATTGCAAATTTCCACTTAGCATTATTTATTTATTTATTTATTTATTTATTTATTTATTTATTTAAAATATATTTTATTGATTTTGTACAGAGAGGAAGGGAGAGAGAGAGAGAGCTAGAAACATTGATGAGAGAGAGTTACCAATCAGCTGCCTCCTGCACACCCCCCACTGGGGATATGCCCTCAACCAAGGTACATGCCCCCGACCAGAATCGAACCTAGGACCCTTCAGTCCCCAAGCCGACGTTCTATCCATTGAGCCAAACCGGTCTCGGCAGCATTTATTATTTATGGAAGGAGTGAAGTTTTAAATAAAAACTTATTTTTAAGTTTGATATACGCACAGAGGAAAGAAACAATTGACCTTCTTATATGTTAGGGAATTTTTAAGATATATACATACACACACACATATAGTTTTTAAGATATATACATGTATACACACACACACACACACACACACACACTCACTCACTCACTCTAGAGGCCTAGTGCACAAAATTTGTGCCCGGAGCGGGGGAGGTGTCCCTTAGCCCAGTCTGCACCCTCTCCAATCTGGGAATACCTCTCACAATCCAGGACTGCCTACCTGAGTGTGCCTAACAGCTTCTGCCTGCCAGCCTGATTGCCCCCAACTGCCCTCCCCTCAGTAAAATATGTTTTTGTTGATTTCAGAGAGGAACAGAAAAGTATAGAGGGATAGAAACAACAGTGGTGAGAATCATCTATCCGCTGCCTCCTGCACATCCCCTACTAGGCATCGAGCCCGCAACTCAGACATGTGCACTGACCAGGAATCGGATCGTGATATCCTGGTTCATAGGTCAACGCTCAACCACTGAGCCACACCTGCCAGGCATATTATTTTTTTAAATTATAACCAAAGATAACTCATTTTCCTTTTTATTAACAGACATATGTAGAGTGTGTCGGTCAGAAGGAACACCTGAGAAACCTCTTTATCATCCTTGTGTATGTACTGGCAGTATTAAGTTTATCCATCAAGAATGGTGAGTCATCCTTCTGGAAAATCTTGTCTAAACTTAAGATTTGTCATTATATATAAGGGGGATTGTTTGAATGAACTATATAATTAGTTATTTAATTTTTTTTTTGGTGGAAATTTGGAAATTATCCATATTCCTTATTGCCATGCTATGTAATTTGGATTATTGCTTTTCAGGTGTATGTGAATCCTGTTTATTTCTGCCATTCAGGGCTTATTTTGTTCTTTGGAAGTATTAAAGTTTTCTAGTTTTGCCTGGCATGGTAATAGCTTACATTATGAAATACTTTGTACCAAGTAGTGCTTAGTGCTTTTCTCATTTAAGCCTTACAACAAAATCATGAGGTGGAGTTGTTGTTATTATGCAGCTGAAGAAATTGAAGCATACAAAGATTAACTAACTAGTCCTATGTCACATAGTCAGGAAGTTAGTGACAGATCAGGATTCAGACCTAGCCCTCAGGATAACAGTATTTTGATACCAGTATTAAAACTGGTGTTGATGTTTGGAGATTTTCTTATAATCAGTTAGCTTTGAGGATATTACAATTTAAATTAATCTAACCATTTTAATAGTTGGTGTACATATTGTTTTTTTATCTCTATTGTTACTGTTCTCTACCTTAGAAGGCATCTGTTATTAAAAGTTTGGAATATTTTAAGATTGAAATTGTCAAAGCTTTATGAAATGTAACATTTTAATAAAACAGAACATTAATTTTTAATGAAACCTTAAAGTTTTCTTGTTATAAATACTATACTTATGAATATATTTGTAATTGCAGCTTAGTTCAGTGGCTGAAACACAGTCGAAAAGAATACTGTGAATTATGCAAGCACAGATTTGCTTTCACACCAAGTAAGTTCTTTTAGAAGTTTTCACTGCATTTTTGGGTAGTAACTGGCCATATGAAAGTGTTTGATTATTTTCAATTAGTTTTTCTTTGATAGTAATGGAAAGTACTACGATAGCATTTTAGAAAATACTTTTAAAAATACATGTCTGTTTCTAATACATGAGAGATGTTGATTTAATTTGTGTTATTTCTTTTTTATTGTTTTTTTTAAATTATGGAGAAGTTCAAATGTTTACAAAGGTATAATGAGTCCACTTGAACCCATCAATCAGTTTGATCCATTTTCAACTTATGGTCTTTACATTACATTAATTATGTTAAAGCAAATGCCATTATTTATAACTTCACTGTTATACATTTTAGTATTTCTAAAAAGTAAGGATTTATTTAAAATAAAAACATAACTGTGATAACATTATTCACCCAGCAGAATTAATAATGATGCCTTGGTTTTATCAGATATCATATCACTGTTCAAATTTGGGATATCTTTTGAGTTAAAAGTATGTAGGTTGGAATAATAATGATAATAAAGACAAAGTTTTAACTCGTTTTTTTGAAATGTTTTTTTTTTTTTTTTTTTTTTTTTTTTAATATATTTTATTGATTTTTATATAGAGAGGAAGGGAGAGAGATAGAGAGTTAGAAACATCGATGAGAGAGAGTCATCGATCAGCTGCCTCCTGCACACCCCTTACTGGGGATATGCCCGCAACCAAGGTACATGCCCTTGACCGGAATCGAACCCGGGACCCTTCAGTCCCCAAGCCGACGCTCTATCCATTGAGCCAAACCGGCCCGGCTGAAATGTTTTTTAAGCTCAGTATTTTCTAAGCCTATAGTAAATATTTTGCAGGTCTTTTAAATTTCAGTTGCATTTTATAATTCTGTACCAGTTGATTGATATTTAATATTGTTCATTGTAAACAATGAGAGCAGTGGTCACCAACCTTTCAGACCTCTCGGACCACATGTTGGTGACTGATGAATTAGAGGACTATAATGGCTATTAAGGATATGAAGCATGATTTTTATTCTGGGATCCTAGAACATTGCCCTCCTCCCTCAAAGGTTTTTTTTGTGTATGTTTTACGTTTTTTGTTTTTAAGTATCTTGAGCTGCTGAGTATAAATTCTGTGAATTAGTATTAGTTTTAATTCATTGGTTGATTCTTGTGTGTATTCCTTGATCAGGGATTGAATTTGAAACCTTGGCATATCAGTTGGATGCTCTAACCAACTGAGCTATCCAGCTGGGGCCAGAGTACAATTTATTAAAGTCATTACAGTTTAACTTTTGGAGTTTTATATTCATTACCATCAAAATGTCAATTCTGTTGTTTCATAATCTTTAATTTTTTGTAGGGTGTAAAAATTTAGCTGTTTAGCTATAGTAAATTGTAAGACTAAATAAATATCTTTATAAATATAAGTTCTATTAGAAATACTTGAGAGCTTTTTTACTTTGAGGCATATAAATTTTCATTTTCGTTTGATAGTTAGATGCTGAATTCTTTATCTTTCTCAGAAACTTTTTACTGGTTTAATGACTTGTTATTATATAAAATATCTTCTTAGTGTAAGGATCTTCGTGAGTATGTTGTAAAAAGTTGCTGTTTGTTAATTATTTCTTAATGTTTGTGGATGAGAACAGTTTTGTTAGAGTGCTCTCATAAATTTTTAGACATTTAAAAAAAAAACTTCATATATCATGATTCCTGTTTTGGCCTCACTGGAGAAAGAGGCAATCTGCTTCTGTGTTCTTTTGAAGATCCTGGTGATGGAGCAGTAGTTTACTTTGGAAATCTTTCTAAAGCATACATAGCACAGCCTCTTCCTTTGAGTGTATTGTACGACATGTTATAGAGAGTGGGGAAGACCTTAATTTACCATTTGCAGTGTTAATTATTGTGCTAAAATAGAGAAATGCTTGACTAACAAATGCCAGTTGTCGTTTTGCTTCACACAAAATGGACCTGCAGATTGTTATGCCTTTTTTTTTAATGTTTTGATTTTTTTAGAGGGAGAGGAAGAGACAGATAAAAACGTAGCTCTGCTGCCTCTTGCACTTCCTCTATTGGGGACTAAGCTTGCAACCTGAGCATGTACCCTGACTGGGAATCCAATTAGTGACCTCTTGGTGCATGGGATGACGCTCAATTCACTGAGTTATGCTGGCAGGGGCCAGATTGTTGTGTTTTTTAGTACTATTTCTAAGGCTTGTATTTGGAAGGAGGGTTTATTCTTGATGACATGTCACTAGCTTCACCTTGTTCTCCTGTTTGCTTTATCTGATATTTTATAATCTGGGAAGCCAGTTATTCATATTGTTTGAATGCTAAAATATGTGTACATTAGTTTTTCATGAAGTTCATGGCTATGAATGAAAGATGCAGACTTCTCTTGAATCTTTTTTTCTGCTCAGAAGTATTTTTTGTTGGCTCTACTTAAATGTGGTATTATTATAAGTATTTGACTCATTTTTTATAGGAATATATTTGTGTAATACAAATATTTAAAGTTAAGATAACTTTACATGCCTATTTTATATTTATGAATTAATCTACTTTTCAATCTTCATGAAATTATATGTAATTTTTTCTATAATAGTTTATTCCCCAGATATGCCTTCACGGCTTCCAATCCAAGACATATTTGCTGGACTGGTTACAAGTATTGGCACTGCAATACGATATTGGTTTCATTATACACTTGTGGCCTTCGCATGGTTGGGAGTTGTTCCTCTCACAGCATGTGAGTACTCATTCCTCTGTGGTTGGAATTAATTAAACATTGCATAGCTATTTAATATTATTGAGTAATATTAGATCATATTTTTGTTCGAATGGTAATTATTTGATATTATTATGTCATATTAGTAAAGCCTTAGGAAACAATTCTCCTGAATTAAGTATTTTTCAGTGAATGTATGAAAGAAAAATACAGCATAGAGAGTCTATTAATAATAGTGAGAGTTCATGAGAGTTGAAAAAGCAAAATCAATTTATAGTTGGAAGAAACTTGAATTTTATTTCTGGAAGTTCGTTAGAGCCTTCAAAGATTGTAAAAGATGGGTTTTCTTGAGATTTTTCCCCCTTCTTTGAAAAGTCACTCACATGTTAAATGATCCTGAATAATTGGGAGGCTTTCTTTCAAATACAGGAGGCTCTCAGGGAGGTCGGTACACTAACTCTTAATTGATACTATTTGAGTTTTTTCATTGTTCTTAAAGACATGGAGAGGGGTATACGGTGCTAGATTATATATATACGATTTTTTGCGATCTTGAATGCAAACAAGATTTTTGAATAAATATAATTAGTATTCTCAGGTCTTCTTAAAATAAGAAAATGAATGTCTTGGGAGATATACCACATAGCAGAGTAAGCACTGAGAAGTGTGAATGAATTAGTGAACTAGAAGATTGAGCAAGGAGTTCTGTAGGATGTAACTAAAAAAGACAAGAAGTTGAAAGTATGAGGGGGGAAAAGTGAGAGATGGAGGCTACATCAAGTTTTTTAGTACCTATCTAATAAGTAGTTCCAGAAGGTAAAAGAGATGATGTAAGAGGAAATGATAGACATCTTGGAGATTGAAAGAGAGAGAGAGCTGACCATGATAAAAGAAAGACTCAATATAGTCTAAAGTTTTCCAGTTTTGAGTAGGGTGTTGTATAGATGTAACGCTTGTAGCTTATCCAACGAAGTAATGAAAATCAGACTAACATCAGACTTAAAATCAGCAAATATTTTGCTGAAGCTAGAAGGCAGCAGCAACTTGAAATTGAATGCTAGGAGGCAAATTTCAAAATCTGACAATTTTTGAACTTAAAACCTACCCATAAATTATCAGATGGAAGGGCAATATACAGACATTTCAACAGATTCAAGGACTGAGAAAGTTTATTGCCTCAAACTATTTACGAAAAATGTGAGAATATACTTGCATAAAATGAGCAAGGCATCAAAGAGAAAGTTGTGACCTACAGAGAAAAGAAGCAAGTATGTCTTACAGCTAAATCGTAATTGTTAACCTATAGTCATTTTTAGGTAACAGAACTAAAATTCTAGATGATCCTAACGGGAGAAATTGTGAGGGGAGGATAGAAATGAGCACTTTTTAAGTTGTTTGTCGAATTTTGAGAGATTATAGATGTGCTACATGTAGATAGGAAAATATAGTGTAACTATACATTAAAAATATAAGGTAACCAAATAGAGTGTAAGACTAGATTCACACCTGCATTGTTACCTGATTAACTGCAGAAGAGCCATCACTGTTCATGGCATTGGAGCATGTACTCTATTGAAAACTTCTCTTAATTTAAAAAGTGTGTACTCCCAAAACTAAAACCCTTTAATTTCATGAGCAAACTCAATGAATTATAGAATTCTAGGTTAAAAAAAATTCTCCATATTGTAATTTTGGAGATATTTTTTAGATTTCCCCCCCTCTTTCAGACATCTAAACTCATTCAATAAAAACAAGCAAGTGTGAATCTAGACTCTAAACTTTAAACATTTTTGAGTAACTTATACTCTTCACTATCACTATTTTTATGCTTGACCATTAAACATTTTAAAACATTTATTGATTTTTTTAGAGGAAGAGAGAAAAAAAAAATCATCTTTTTTCTCACCCTTTTATGCATTCATTGGTTGATTCCTGGATGTGCCTTGACCCGGGATTGAACCCATAGCCTTGACTCATTGGGATGATGCTACCCAGCCAGGGCCTTGACCATTTAAAAAAAGTTTAATATTTTGAGACTCATCTTTGCAAAGACTCAATGTGTATTTTAGTGGCATTCATGGTATTCCACTTTACGTCCGTTTAGTTGAACAGCTGTGAGGTTGATGATGAGAACTGTAACTGTGTGCCATTGTGCCCTCTTTTGGTAGGCCGCATCTACAAGTGTTTGTTTACTGGCTCCGTGAGCTCACTACTGACACTGCCACTGGACATGCTGTCTACGTGAGTATGAACCTTGTGACAGTGGAAGGCTGCATAATGGTGTTTGTTTTTCTCCACGCTTTTATTTTTTTAATCCTTAATCAAGGATATGCTCTTTGATTTTTAGGGAGAGGGGCAGGGAGAGAGTGAGAGAGATTGATGTGAGAGGGAAACATTGATTGGTTGCCTCCTGCATGTGGTTCAGGATTAAACCTGCAACCTAGGTATGTGCCCTCACTGGGAATCGAGCCCTTGACCTTTAGGGTACGGGATGATGTTCCAGGTGAGCCACACTGGCCTGGGCTGCTCCACATATTTATTTTTGTTATAATTTGAGAAGTTTTTCAGTTTCAAGGACAAATAATAACTTCAACAGTAGAAGTAGCTGACATGTATATATACATATGTGCTGTTTGTTTTAAAATATACCTGTCTTAAAAAGAACTGTTTTGTAATGGTGGAACGGCTTGTTAAATAGGCTATGTCATGCATTGTGGTATATATACAATTATGTTCACATGCTGAAAATTCATTTAAATAGGTTTTTGCAATATAGACATTTGAATTCAAATTTATTTTTAAAATGTTTCTTGTGATTATCAGTGTCTGGACTCTAAAAAAAGTATTCACTGTAGTTGTTTTATTGTATCTTTATTTGACATTAAACATTGTAATTGAATTTTCTTGGGAAAGACAGATGTGTTTTATTTATTACTGATGTCAGAATTAGAAATGCTATAAATTATTAACTATATCAAGATCATTAGAATATTAAGCCTGCAAAAAATAATACTTATATATGCTAAATCTTCTTTTGTGCCAACTGCCCTTTGTAATTATTTTTGAGAAACTGATTTTCATCCAGAAAATTATGAGTCTTCTGGCTGCTCTTTTCCTGAGAGTTTAATATAAGATGAACTGTTGTTATCTTGGGTTTCTTTGGTTTCCTTAGGTGTTCTTTGGAGTAATTCCATATTTTTTTTTTTTACTAGGGACAACTTATTGGCAGATTGTTTGCAGGGTTGTTTTGTGGTGACGTGCACATTGTGCGCATTCATCAGCCTGGTGTGGTTGCGAGAGCAGATTGTCCATGGGGGAGCACCAATTTGGTTGGATCATGCTGTTCCTCCCTTCAATGCTGCTGGACACCACCAAAATGAGGTAACTCCTCACTTCCTTTGATTCTTTTTACTGGGACAGGACATGAGTTGTCGTCACCCTCTAAGACCCAAGCTCTTGACTCCGATGCCCCTCTTGCAAAGTACAGTATAGTAAAAAGGAATGGGAGAAGATTAAGGAAGGTGTGAAAAATCAAAAGAATGCTTCTGTGACTTGGCCTCTTAATTTTCTAGCAAACTTGGGAGCAATATTGGGGGTATACTAAAGTTTTATATTTGTAAGTGTATAAACAAATAAATGGATGCATAAATAAATACATTTTTATTCCCGAGGGGCCATTAAAGACGGGAGTTGTCTTTTAAAGAAGGATTATGTATGGAATGATGTATTCAAGATAGCCAGATTGTTAATCCATTATCTATAATGCTTTATGAAATGGTAAGCTTTAAATTATACTGAATGAATATATACACTGTGAAGTGAATTTATATCCTTATATACTAAATTGATCCAAAATAAGATACATTTGACTTTGAGAGGTGGATTTTGGAATTTCAATATTTTGAGCTTTGCTATTTTGTTTTTTTAGAAGGAAGATCTAGATTTAAAAATAGAGCAAAACTGAAGTAAGTTAGCTAAATGTCTGTGGTCTTCTGTGATTGTAGGCTCCCGCCGGAGGAAATGGTGCTGAAAATGTTGCCCCTGACCAGCCTGCCAACCCACCAGCTGAGAATGCAGTGGTGGGGGAAAACCCAGATGCCCAGGATGATCAGGCGGAAGAAGAGGAGGAAGAGAACGAGGAGGAAGATGAGGCAGGTGGAGAAGATGCAGCGGATGCCAACAACGGGGCCCAGGGTAATGGCTGCTCCTTTGTCCTTATCACATCTTCTCCACCATGATCCGTTACCAACTTGCCTTGGGGGGACGAGTGGAGTCTTCACAATTTAATTGGTTTAAAATTATATTTTTAACTGGTCTTTATTTTGGCAAAGTATGGATATATGTATGCATATTTTTTTTTTCTGTGAAGCAGGGCGCATTTTGTGGTTTAAAAGCCTATATGCAGGACTTTTATAGGATGGGTAGGAAGAAATTATTTGTAAGTTGGTGTAGATCCTAGTTTTTTTTTTTTTTTAACTTTTAAAGGAATTTGATAAAAATTTACCTTTTTTCTTATTTATTGCCTAATAAGTAAATACTCATATGAAAAAATTTTAAATGTGGTTTAGCTTCTCAACAACAGTTTACAAAACACCAAATTAAAAGGGTGCATTTTATTATTTATTGTTCAAGTTACATCAGTAATCTTTGAACTGCAATTTTATTTCTAGATGACATGAACTGGAATGCTTTAGAATGGGACAGAGCTGCAGAAGAGCTTACATGGGAAAGAGTAAGACTTCTATCAAACATCAGTGTTTTAATTCTATAGTTATGTTTGGTTTAAAACTTTAATAGATCTTTAATTTCTAGATAAAATTAAGTGATGTTTTATTTGTACTGAAAATGATAACTTTTTCTGTCTTCTGGTTTTTAAAACAAACTTTGCTTTATTTAGGGAATATTTAGCCTGAAATTGTTGACTTTCAAAAAATGAAGTAACAATTTAAATTTTAAGTATTATTCTGATGCTTCATTTGACAATATAGTTGTATCATGAAGTCTTGACTAGCTCCATAGCTAATATAAGGATGAAACCCAAGATTTTTTTTTTTTTTTTTAACTTAACCATGATTTGGAATAAAAGGAAACCCAAAATTCAAAACTTCTATAAATAGTTTTTTATTCTCTGAAAATGGTAGTCTATATTGGAAGGTAGTGGGTAAGGATTTTGTTTAAAGATATTGAAAGGGCCCTAGCTGGTTTGGCTCAGGGGATAGAGCGTCGGCCTGCAGACTGAAGGGTCCTGGGTTCGATTCTAGTCAAGGATACTGGGTTGTGGGCTTGATCTCGTGGGAGGCAGCTGATCAATGACTCTATCTCATCATTGATGTTTCTAACTCTCCCTTCTCCCCTCCTCTCTGAAATCAATAAAAAAATGTTAAAAAAAATATATTGAAAGGGAAATGAGCCATTTTAATAAATAGAATTATAAAACCTGTTTTATCTTGAATTAATGCCTATTATTATTCATTTTAGATGCTAGGACTTGATGGATCACTAGTTTTTCTAGTAAGTAAAGCTAACATTTTTAAAAAAAAATAATAGAACTGTGACTTAATTATCTTAGTGATTCAGTTGAGGTAGGAGTTATACTGAGGTATGCATCTGGTGGTAATTCACAGATTACTGAGAATATGATGTTACTAAGCTTCTGTTCAAAGTTTGATCACAATCAGTATAGAAGGTATTATTTGACTACATACTCATTTTTCTCTTACCTCATCAGTCCCTCATAGATGAGTCCCAGAAGTTAGGCAATGGTGTTGACAAAAGTGCATTCTAATTATTGGGAAAAATATTTATAGGATGACTTCATTCATGGAAAGATATTTTAGTATCTACCATGTGCCAATTATTGTGATAGTTACTGGGAGGTTCAGAGATGAATGCAATAGGATCTCTGTTCTCAAAGATGCTTTATAGTTAGTAGAAATGACACATGAATAAGAAACTTTAGAGGTACTACATGGCAAAGACTCAGTTACAGAAGGTGTGCATTAGAGATACAGAAGAGGCCTTGGTTAGGTGTTTTTTATTGGAGTTTGTCAGCAGGAAATTTTTAAATAAGATAAATTAGAGGTTGAGGCACAGGAGATATAGGGAATAAGTACAGTTTGGGAGCCTTTAAGGCACAGAAAAGCTGAAAAAATTCAAGTGATATAAGCTGATATAGTGAATAGGAATGTACCAGTCATCTTTTAGATAAATTAAGCATCCTTTTTGCCACTTGGATTGTAGCAGATTGGGATATTCTTTCCTGATGGGAATATCTTTCTAAGAAGAAAGTCTTTCAGTGTTGGCACTTTTTGGAAGGATCATTTAACTTAATGGGGGAGGAGCAGTGGGCCTAGACAAATGGGTTTGGTCTTTCTAGTGTCAGCAAGGAGTGTAAAGTATAAGTGTCATGCCTGGAGATGATAGCAGTCATCTTGGAGGTGATAATACTACCTGTGGAAGTGGATCAGTGGCCACGTGAGAATGAGTATTCTGAGGCATCAACAAAGAAAGACAGGACACCATGTGGAGAAAAGGGACCAGAGGAGATAAAAGTGACCTTACAGATCTGGAGAACAAAATGGACAGTGAAAAAGCCCTCTATTTTTCCATTAACATGTTGTTGGGAATTAATGGATTTTCTAATTTTTCTCCACTTGGAATTTTTCAGTGTCATTTGATTTAATGCAGTCTTGAAGTTATTTATGAGAATCCGTGTAGTTTGTAGTGAATTATTAATTTCTGAAGAGGAAATGTTTATAGATTAACTTCTTTGATTTTTTCCCCTACATGTAACATCATGAACTTGAGTTTTATTAAATTTATTTTTATGAGCTATCTAATGAAAAATTTAAAGTTGTACATAATTTTTAGAATGAAATCTCAACTGTAGAGTGAACCTTTCAGTCTTCTAATTGAATAAGTGGAGTAGTCTAAACATATATCAAGTAGGAATTGAATATGTTTTATTAATGTTCTTTTCCTTTAGGAACATGTCTTCTGGGTGGTGTCTTTAAACACACTGTTCATTCTTGTTTTTGGTAAGTGGTGTTTATGATTTGTTTATTGTATTATGGCACTTTAGTTTTCTAGGAGTCTTCTTATATAGGTTTTAGTTTTATTTTAAACATGAATATATGAAATAGTTTTAGATAGTAATTTGTACAGGACTCCTATATAGATGCCTTCTTTCCTAAGCAATAGTGACTTCAATAACAAGCCTACCATCTGTTTTAGTTGGGCATTTCTGACTCTTTGTAGGAGGTAATTTTACTAGTAGACTTACTTGAGAATATACAGTATTCTACCTCTGGAATTAACTTTTTGCTAATTATCTGCGTGTGCTTCCCTATGGGAGAAGATCTTATTGCCATCTGTCAAGGCCTTATCAGAGACCCTACTTGGGAGTTGTCACCGGAGATGGATGTAGGCTAGAGGGAAGACAGTGACTGTTCCCCAACTCTGAATTCCCCTTCGAACCAGATTCCAGTAAATGCACAATCACTTTCAAGACACTTTCACAACTACAGCTGTGAGGGTTCTATGGCAATAAACACAAATCCCTCCTGTTGGGTGTAATTACAGAGAGAGGAAGGTAGGGCTGAGAAAGTGCAGTTGCCAGATTTTTCTGCTTTGGGAAAGATAAGATAAACTGAATCAAGTAAATCAAGACCTTAAATTCAATTCCTGTATCTCTCAAGGAAGAGAAGATAGAGTTTGATAAAATCAGGTTATTGCTGGGCTGGACTATGATTTGTGGAGAGACCTTAGAGCATTGGTCACCAAATGGTGGTCCATGAGGTCTGAAAGATTGGTGACTTGCTTTAGAGTACAGATCTCTCTGTAGGGGTGATCTTTGAGAAATTCCTTCTTTTAATGCATATGAATTACCCCCTCAGTTCTACTGAGGAGGGAGGGTTACATTGAATTCCAAGTTATTTGCTTTGTGTTGTAGACCACTTTGTGACATGGAAAGCAGTTCTCTTCAATAGGAAGGAAGCCATATGGTCAAAAAGACACTGAACATGGCCCTGGCCAGTGTGGTTCAGTTGGTTGGATGTCATCTTGTCCACCAGAAGGTCATGGGTTTTATTCCTGTTCAGGGCACATGACTAGGTTGTGGGCCTGATCCCCAGTAAGGGGCATGCAAGAGGCAATTGATCAATGATCGATGTTTGGCTCTCACATTGATGTTTCTCTCTCTCCCTCTATTTTCTTCTCTAAAAAAAATCAATAAAAAGATACTGGATATGTAAATTGAGGATGAGATGAAATTAATTTCTGAGTATTATCAGTAAAGAACAAAAGAAAATTACAGATAACTTGTTAAATATCTTGATTAAAAAGATGGCACAGATTAACAGGAAGCTCATTTTTTTGTTGTTTCCCCTTGAATAGGAAGGTAAAAAATATGCCTGAAGATTATTCTGCATTTATTTTTTATATGTAAAATTATATTCACTTTTTTAGTATTAGGTCTAGTAATAATTAATGTCGTTTTCTAATACTTTTTAAAATCGAATTTATTTAAACAATACAACAAAATTTAATCAACAATATAGTTGCCGTTGTTTTCTACTACTTGTGCCCAACGCTCAGGAAGCATTTTAATCCCTCTGTTGTAAAATTCTTGTGATTTTGATGCAAAAAATTCGGTCAATGCATTTTTGAGGCATTCTTCATTATTAAATTTTTTTCCAAGAAGAAAGTTTTGCAAAGAACGAAACAAATGGTAATCGGAAGGGGCACTATCAGGAGAATATACAGGTTGAGGGAGAACTTCCCATTCTAACTGGCGCAGTTTTTCAGCAGTGATTCTTGCAGTATGCGGTCGTGCGTTATCGTGGTGAAGAATTACGCCCTTCCGATTAATCAGCGCGGGTTCTTTTTCTCTTAAAGCTTGGGCTAACCTTTCCAATTGGGCACTAGACACTGCACTTGTAATGGTTTGGTTAGATGGTAAAAGTTCATAATGAAGAATTCCTTTAAAATTCCACCAAACACACAACATCACTTTTTTCGCATGCAAGTCAGGTTTTGGCATGGGCTGCGGAGCCTCATTTTTGTCCAACCATTGAGGCCGCCTTTTCAAATTAACATACAGCACCCATTTTTCATCTCCGGTAACAATTTGCTCTAAAAACGGCAAACGGTTTTGACGAGAGAGGAGCGAACTGCAAATTGTGACTCTTTGATTACGGTTGTTGTCGGTCAACTCATGAGGAACCCATTTTCCAAACTTTTGGACTTTGCCAAGTGCACGCAATTGATTGGAAATTGTTTTTTGTGAACAATTGGAAATTGTTTTAAAGTTGTCTCAAGCTCTTGTTGGGTAATTTGAGGATTTTGCACCAAAAGAGCTTGAAGAGCTTCTTGATCAAAATTGGACACACGGCCTTGACCACTCTTGTCATCTAACGAAAAATTTCCCTCGCGAAATTTCTCAAACCAACGCTGGCATTTTCTGGCACTAACTGCATCTTGACCAAGAGCACTACAGATGTTTTTTGCAGCCTCACTTGCTTTTCTTCCTAATTGGAACTCGTAAAGCATGCAGTGCCGAATATGCTCCTCATCCGCCATCTTCTTAGCCCTAGTTTTGCATCAAAAACCAAACCAAACACAAACTTTTTCAAGCAAAACTTGTTAATTGCACTTCACACGTTCTGTAGATACCACGTGTTTGGTTATGTCAATACAAGTCAACGCCAAGCAAGATTTTAAATGAATGTTTAAAAACGACATTAAAGTACTAGACCCGTATAATGAACTCATGGATTTGTATATATTCAGTATGTTTCCACCAGAATGTGAAACTGTTTTCTCATCTTGACCAAGTTCTTTTAAAAATTATTTTTTAATTTTCTTTATTTATTAAGGTATTACATGTGTCCTTATCTCACCTTTCCTCCCCTACCCCCCCAGCTCATGCCCTCATTCTCCCCTGGTGTCCGTGACCACTGGTTAGGCTTATATGCATGCAAACAAGTTCTTGATTGATTTCTCCCTCTTACCTCCACCTTCCCCTTCCTTCCCTCTGAGGTTTGACAGTCTGATCGATGCTTATCTATCTCTGGATCTGTTTTTGTTCATCAGTTTATGTTGTCCATTATATTCCACAAGTGAATGAGATCATGTGATATTTATCTTTCTCTGACTGACTCTGAGCTTAGCATAATGCTCTTCAGGTCCATCCATGCTGTTGCAAGTGGTAGGAGTTCCTTCCTTTTTATAGAAGCATTGTATTCCATTGTATAGATGTACCACAGTGTTTTAACCACTCATCTGCTGATGGGCACTTAGGCTGTTTCCAAATCTTGTTATTGTAAATTGTGCTGCTATTTTGAACATAGGAATGCATATAGCCTTTCTGATTGATGTTTCTAGTTTCTTGGGATATCAAGTTTTGAGAGAAAAAGTGATCTATAGAATTTAGTCTTTGATCTTGCAAAAAAAAACCTTAATGCTAAGTTAATGTTTAAAGAAACAAGTCATCTTTAAATCTGAATTAGAGAAATAAGAATTCTTATTTATAGAAAGGAAATAGCATCTAAGTAAATATTTTTCTAATCCAATCTCCTACACTTATATATAAGTTTATATGAAAAAAATGTTTTAGTACACTTATATAACACTAGAAGCCCGATGCACAAAATTCGTGAAAGAGTAGGCCTTCCTTCCCCTGGCTGCTGGTACCGGCTTCTTTCTGGCTGCTGGCACCCGGGACTTGGGCTTCCCTCACAGAGGGAGGCCCCACCTACCTGCCACAGCCTGCCTGTCAGTGGCTTGGATTTCCTTCCTTGGGTCGATTATAGAGGTCCGTGCCCGCCTCCCCCCCTCCTGCACCCCCCCCGATTGATTGCCCCGCCAGCCGGTGGCCTGGGCCTCCCTCTGCAGGGTGATGGCCAGGCCCCTGCCCAATTGCATCACATTCGCCATGGCTGGCCTGGTACCAGTGGGTGTCATAGCATGGTCCCGGATGGTCACCTGGATGGTCATTCTGCTGTTCGGCCATTTGGTTGATTTGTATATTATGCTTTTATTATAATGGCAGTCAATTAGCATATCCCCTTCTTATGGGTTGTGGGCTCCACCAGCTTTGTGAGGGCGTGATGGTAAATTAGCATATTCCCTCTTTATTAGATAGGATGATGCCATTATCACACCTTAGAGAAATCAGTAGTAGTTAATATTTCTTAGTAATCCAACATAGTAAAAGTTTCTGGATTGTTAGTTGTTAAATGTGACTTTATAGTTGGTTTGTTTGAATGAGGATTCAGATAAGGTCCAGACATTACTTTTGGTTATTAATCCTTTGACCTAGAATATTCTTCTGCTTAATCCCCTTTTTTGCTATTGATTTGTTGAAGAGACTTAGGTCATCTGTCCTGTAAGTGCCTCATGTTCTACATTTGTCCAATTGCTCCCTGATAATGTCTGTTACCTTGTTTCTTTGTCTCCAAGGGCCTGATTAGATTCAGGTTCAATGTTTGGGACAGATCCTTCACTGGTTGTGTTTTGCCTAGTAATACGACATATCAGAAGATAGATGATGTCTGGTTCTCCACCTTTCAATTGGCTAAGTTGATAGCATGTTGAAGTCTTTATTGTTAGGTTTCATTTTTCCCTTAACCATCAGAAAGTAATGTCAGGGGGTGGTATTTTAGCATCATGCAAATCTAGCATTTCATCAACATTTCACCTAATGATTTCATTGTCCCATGATGATACTTGCCTGAAATAATTTATTAGTCATTACAAAATGATTCTTTTCAAATTGTCCTTTTTTACATTTGTTGGATGGATTTTCTATAAAGAAGAACTTATTTATCAGCTAGAGCTATTTAATTAACCTGAACTTGTTGGTTCAGAAGCAGCAGGACAGATGTGCAGGTCTTTTCTTTATCAATTTTCAGGGTAAGGAATTGCTGAGCCCTCTATTTTCATTGGTGATAAAATGTTTTCTGTGATATTGCTTTTTTCCCTTTTGTTTTTGATTTTGGCCTACCACTTTTTGAGTGTAATGAACTCATGGATTTGTGTATACTCATCGTGTTTCCACCAGTTTGGGTCATTATTCTTTTTAATGCTCATATCTTCTCTTTTTTTAAGAAATTTATTCTGTACAGTTTTGGATGTCAGAATTTATTTTATTATTAATTTATTTATTTTTAACCATCACTCAAGGATATTTTTCTATTGATTTTAGAGAGAGTGGAAGACAGAGGGAAAGACAGAAAGAAATATCAATGTGAGAGAAACACATCAATTGGTTGCCTCCTGCACACAGCCCTGGGCTTGGGCCTGGGCCAGGGCCAGGGAAGAACTTGCAACAGAGGTACGTGTCCTTGACCGGAATTGAATCCAGGACCTTTAGGTCCGCACGCTGACACTCTATGCACTTAGTCAAACTTGCCAAGGCGGTACTCATATCTTTCATTGGCCCCTGGGACCCTCTTCACAATGGTTCTCGGGTCCTTTTGCCATTAGTTTATTAGACCTTGATTACTTTGTTGTTGTCTGGTTACAGAGAATGTCCCAAGAAATACATTTTTAGCCTCAGTTCTGTTATGTTCCATTACTTAAAAATCCCTGGTTCCTTTCTTGGGAGATGGTACTAGGAGTGCTCATTGTTTTAATTTTGATGTTTTCATTGAGTTTTTTCTTCCCTTTTAGCGTTTTGCCCTTACCACATTGGTCATTTCTCCCTTGTTGGTTTGGGATTTGAAGAACATGTGAGTATAATACTTTTACAAACTTACTTTTATTGATCTCTCCCCCAAATTTAATATCGGTTGAGTAATTAATAATGTAGAGTTACTTCATTTCTAATCTGCCTTATACAAAAGAATAGTTATCCAACACCAGTTTGTTCTTTTCTTTAAAACTGATAGGTATACTGAGTGGTATAAGACACAGTAGGTTATCTTGCCAACTAAGAAGATACGCTCTAAAATCCCATGGTGTACTGTGTTCCTTCCTGTTGAGTGGGCCAATGGCATACTATGGGAAAATTTTTTTGCAGGCTGATTTATGATTTGTTTTAATGAACCTTGTACCCTTCTCTTCCTTTTCACCAAATGCCTCCTAGTGCCTTTAGAAAAGTAACAATATATCAATTGGTTAAAAAATGGTTAGTTGGTCTTGGAATGGTGTGCTATAAAGTTTTCTAAAGAATTTGCTTTAATTTTGACATTTTATCATTGTCAGGGGATAGATACATTTGGATGGACAGCTAACTACTGTTTTGGGGGGCAGAAAGATTTAGTTTTTTAAGGAAGAGCTGACAGATCTGGATACTCTGTTCTGTTTGTGTGTGTGAATCCTGAGAGAGAACATTTTGAAGTGTTCTAAAAGGCCAAAGAGATGTGTTTGCTTGTTTCTTTTTTTAAAAAGTTTATTTTTATTGTTGAAAGCATTACAGATGTCCCTTCCCCTTCCCCCCTTGACCCTTTCCATTCCTCCCCTATGCCTCCCCTCCCACCCAGGCCTTCACCTCACTATTGTCTGTGTCCATGGGATATGCATATATACATAAAAATTCTTTGGTTAATCTCTTCTCTGTCTGAATCTATTTTGTTATTTGGTAGATATGTGTTTCAATATTTGATACAGCTCTTCAAATTCTTATTAGTTGCAGAATCTTGAAAAGTTAGGATAAATTATTTGATAAATTTTGATTTTCCAAGCTATCACCATTTGCTTTCTGGAATTCAGGAATAAAAATGATGGGTACTATTTGTCATTATTTAAAACTCTTGTTCTATAAGTTGAGAATGAGATAGATTTGGAGAGCAATCACTTTTAGTGATAGGAAATGAGGTGGCTGGGATACACTGGACAGGTGGACAGCTTGTGCTCAGCATTTAGCAAATCTACTTCAGAATGGAATAAAGTGCAGACTATTGCATTACAACTTTTTTCTTATTTTTGTAAGATTTAATTCACTATTTTATTTTGTCTGCTGGAATAAAGTTATTCTTTAATTTTTTCTCATCCTTACATAATATACGACATTCAATGGGAGAATCTGGTTTAAAGATGTCATCCAAAGGGGATTTTATGGTTTTCTAGTTGTAAATTGCCTATTTCCAGTCCACTTCCAGTCTATTTGAATTGTTTAATACATTGTTAAACTGGGGTGGAGGCTATGTGATACAATTAAAGTTTTATTTATTTTTTTCTTATTTCTAGGTCCAAGCATCTCATTTTGAAGGCCTAATCACAACCATAGTTGGGTATATACTTTTAGCAATAACTCTGATAATCTGTCATGTATCCTTTAATGAACCAACTTAGGTGTTTAACATATTCATACCAAAGAGTTCCTATTACCGACAAAGCTATTTCTCTCCCCTTGTCCTCTTAGTAAAAGTTGTAGACATTTGTATTGAGGATAAGGGCAGACAAAATGTGAAATATATTCATCTGCCAAATAATATTAAGTGTTGCTTAAGTTATCAGTTTTATTGCACCTTGAAATACTGTTTTTCCTTGACTAGATGCTATAGGGCTTGGCAACTCTTGTTAAATTTCATAGGTCTCGTCGTTTGCTGGGAGTCTGCTACATTGTTGTTAAGGTAATTTTTGTTATAAGTTAAAAGTGGAAATGATTTCTCCCCATTTGGGTGATGTTGATGACATTTATTTTTGCTTAAGGTCTCTTTGCTAGTGGTGGTAGAAATTGGCGTGTTCCCTCTCATTTGTGGCTGGTGGCTGGATATCTGTTCCCTGGTGAGTTTATTCATTATCATACAACCTAATAATTTAAAGGCTTCAGAAAAGACATCCTTAGAATGGGTTTCTTTTAAAGGAAAGTCAGTATTTGATGATAATTTGCTTTTTTTTTTTTTTTTTTTTTTTTTTTCCCTGAGACTGTATCACTATGGAGTCTTAATGTTGCAGTTTTCCTGATTTTTCCTTGAGGCTTTATGCCGATTTCTGATGTCAGAGTATTTTGATTGTAACCTTTCTAATAATCAGTGAAGAATTTTCTTAGTGTCTTTATTCTTCTAAATTTTATGATAATGCCAAGACATTATGTGCATAAAAAAAGCAATCTGAGCCGAAGCCAGTTTGGCTCAGTGGTAGAGCATCGGTCTGCGGACTGAAGGGTCCCAGGTTCGATTCCGGTCAAGGGCATGTACTGTGGTTGCGGGCACATCCCCCATAGGGGGTGTGCAAGAGGCAGCTGGTCGATGTTTCTCTCTCATCGACATTTCTAGCTCTCTATCTCTCTCCCTTCCTCTCTGTAAAAAAATCAATAAAATTAATTAAAAAAAAAAAAAAAGCAATCTGAGAAAATGGTCCTGTTACTACCATATCATAAGTTCAATCCTAACTATTTGTTTTAACTAAGATGCCCATTTTTTAAAATTATAATCTTTTTAAAATATTTATATTTTTTAATTTTTAGAGAGAGGAAGGGAGAGGGATAGAGAAACATTAATGAGAGTGGAACATCATTGATTGGCTGCCTCCTGCACACTGCCTACTGGGGATTGAGCCTTCAACTTGGGCATATGCCCTGACCACTGGGAATCAAACAATGACCTCTTAGTTCCTGGGTAAACCACTGAGCCATACCAGCTGGGTGTTTATTACAATCTTTAGTGGCTGTCAGTGATAATCAGTTTTTTATTTTTCAAAAACATTTTATATGTGGAATAGCTACCTTTGATTGTGAGATAACATTTTCTTTCATACTTTACTACTAAAATTTGTCATGAATGCAGACCTGTAACCAAGAAAATAAGGTTTTATGTTAACCTAAAATGGTTCTTTTTACTTACCAATTGGTTTATTAGTCTTGCTGCTTATATTTAAAAATTTAAAGTGTCATACATTTTTGAAATAGTATTTAATCTTATATCATTTATATTTCTATGACACCATGAAATAGTATTAAGAGAACTATAGTCCTGGAACATCATAACTTATATGCATAAGTGATTTTTATTCACTTCCTAGAAGATGGAGATACTAATTTGGCAAGTGTAGGTGCTACAACTCTTATTTACCTGTTCCCTTTTGATTTAGGAAATGTTTGATGCTACTCTGAAAGATCGAGAACTGAGCTTTCAATCAGCTCCAGGCACTACCATGTTTCTGCACTGGCTAGTGGGAATGGTGTATGTGTTCTACTTTGCTTCTTTCATTCTGTTACTGAGAGAGGTAAGTTCTACGGGGAGATGCTGATGCTACACATTCATGAAAAGGACTTTTGTTTAACCACAATTGTGCCTCAAAGGTTATTATGATTTCCTAACAAAATAATTTTCTCTATTTTAATCTAAAAGGAAAAAACTGATAGTAATTATTTTAAACTTTTAGTCATTTGCTTTAAAAATTGACAAGTTTTAGCATTTTTATCTGTAATTAGTTATGAGTTTGAAAGATGAGTAGACTGAGGGGGAAAAAATTAACCAATTAACTGCCACACCTCTAAAATGGAAACCATTCCGCTTGTGTCTACAGACACTTATGACACACAAAAGGCTAAATAAAAGCATTTATTTTACATGTGGCCATCCTCTAATACAAATTCTTGGACTTTTATGTGATCTGTGCCTATCTTCATTCAAGGAAATGTAATGCTGTAAATTCTTTAAGGTTATGGTTTTACAGGATTAAATATGTAAAATGGTCTTAAATCAGGCATTTAAGTGTAGAATTAGAGTGAGGGTCCTTTATTATTCCAGTTCACTTGCCAAATGGGTACCTTACTATTTTTGGAATACAGTCTTTATGATTTGGAAGACAATGGCAGGGGAATCAGTATTTGATTAATATATATCTCATGCTCCATCATTCTGGTGCAGTAGGAAGTATAAAACTGATACATGTACTTGCCACTGTGCATCCTTTCCCTCAGTATTACTGCATAGTCACTCTGTTGTAAGTCTGCTATTGGCTGGTGTATTAATAAGTGAGAAAGAAAGACATGATCCCCATTCTCCTTGATTTTTGCATCCTGGGAAGGAATAAAACAGTTGAACAAGTCAGTTTAGTCCTTTAAGAGTGCTTTGAGAGTGGTGATGGAGATATGCACCGCTAAAGGACCAGGCCAACTAACGCAGTGTTAATGGAATCCAAAAGCACAGAGGCTTAATGCTATTCTTGTACTTCGGTATTTGAGTGTTTTGAGGAGTTGGGGAGGGGGTTGGAGGCTAACATGTTATCTTGAATCATATAGTGTAAGTTCAATAAATTCTTCTTAGGAAGTGTAAGGCTGAAATCAGATTGGACATTTATAAGTTACAACCTAATTCTTTCACCAGATGATACAAAATAGTGACAATTTTCATTTTTTTAAAAAAATTTATTGATTTGAGAGAGTGATAGAAACATCAATTTATTGTTCCACTTACTTATGCATTCTTTGGTTGATTCTTATATGTGCCCTGACCAAGGATTGAACCTGAAACTTGGTATATTGGGACGGCATTCTAACCAACTGAGATACTTATCCAGGGCCAACAGTTTTCAAAACAATACTTATTTCTCATTTAGGATATTTAGATATGACAAACTGTCCATTAATACACTTATTTATCATTAATTGATTAAAAGCATCAAAGAATATCAGTCACAGGATAGTTTTCATAAAGATTCTGATTTAGGAATTTATTTTCCCAGGAAAGTCATATATGAATTTTCTGTGGCCCATTTTTAAGATGCCAAAATAATTTCACAAACTTATTTTTCTGTTAATGTTTTAGCTCATATACAGAGCCCTGAAGACATTAGTAAGTATTTATAGCATTTAAAATACATTTGCAGGTACTTCGACCTGGTGTCTTGTGGTTTCTAAGGAATTTGAATGATCCAGATTTTAATCCAGTACAAGAAATGATCCATTTGCCCATTTATAGGCATCTTCGAAGATTTATTTTGTCAGTGGTAAGCATACCTTGATATGTTTTTGAAGTAAAATGTACTACCCTTTAGATTTTTGGTCAGGGGGTAGTACAGGAGATTGAGTAACTTAACGTTTAAGCTTGTGGAACTTAGTTGTTAAGTAGGAGTTTTATTGGTTATTTGATAAAGTAAATAACATGTCTACTAAAACAAAAACTTCTATTACTTTAGCAGTATAGTTGATTGCCAAATTATGAGTTTCTGAATTACAATTAATTTGCATTAAACCTATGGAAACTTGTTTATATCTTCTAAATTAAACTCTTAACAGAGGGTCTCAAAGTTTCTTCCCCATCTAGAAGAGGAAATTACCTAGTTAAATCTAAATTTTTCCAAAATAAAATTTTAACAGTAATATTGTGCTTTTTGGAAACTTTTGTAGCCATTAATATGGGTCATGTCTTATAGTGATTACAGGTGATTTATTATTTTTCAGACAATTCCGATCCTTCATTGTCAGATCTCTTCTCACTTACCATGCAGTGGTTATCCTTTGTGGCTCCTGTTTGAGCCTTTGTGTCCTAGAGAGAGAAGAGGAATAGCCATCTCAGGAATGCATTCTTTATACAGAGTGATCTAAGTATAGTGTGTTGAGTGAGAACACTCCGGGCTATAGACATGGGCTGCATATTGGTTGAGTATGTTCAGAAGTGAGCCTGTCTCTCACGGGAGTGGTTTACAATGGTGTTATGCCCTTTTTCTTACTGCAGATTGTCTTTGGCTCCATTGTCCTTCTGATGCTTTGGCTTCCTATACGTATAATTAAGAGTCTGCTGCCTAATTTTCTGCCATACAATGTCATGCTGTACAGGTAAGTTTTTGAAATTCAGAAGCTTTTCTAATTTAGCTCTGTTAGGGATTTGATATTAAGAGTACATACATTTAAAACATATTTCTTACCGAATCATCACTAAGGTAATTACAAAAAGCCATTTTCTGCATATGGAGTTTGCTTTTGTTCAGCATTTAAATTTAAAAAAATATATATTTTATTGATTTTTTTACAGAGAGGAAGGGAGAGGGATAGAAACTCAGAAACATCAATGAGAGAGAAACATCGACTAGCTGTCTCTTGCACACTCCCCAATGGGGATGTGCTTGCAACCAATGTACATGCCCTTTATCGGAATCGAACCCGGGACCCTTCAGTCTGCAGGCCAACACTCTATCCACCGAGTCAAACCGGTTTTGGCCAGCATTTAAATTTTTGCTATGCCTAATGAGAGTTGGTTAGTAGCATTATCTTTTATTTATTTATTTTTTTAATTTTTTTAGTTTTAAGTTTATAATATTATTACCTAGTTCAATCTGAAAAAGAAAATTCAAAACATACCATAAGACTCTATTTTATTGAGACAGGAGAAGCTGTTGGCTTTTGATTCTTTTATTCTCTTACATTTTTATCATTTTTCTTTCAACCAAGTTCTGTCTTTTCATTTTATAGTATATTATCTTTTAAAAACTTTTCCAGATTATAATGTTCAAAAAGTACTGAAGATATTATTAATCCCAAGGAGAATCTTTTTTTGCCTCATGCTCTGCTATACCATCAGACTAAGCCCAGCACCGCCACTCCACTCGTCCTCTCCATCGGGCACTACTAGTAAAAAGCACTTCATAAAGAATGTAGCCCTAGTTGCACATTTAATTATGGATATAAAGCTTATAGTTGGAAAACCCTCAATTTACAAACTGAAGCCACCTGGAAACCTAGTCTCTCATTCCTCCTACATTGTTTACATTACCCCTTTAGTCACCTAGAGCAGAAATCTGCCTGGCAAATTATATTTCTCAGTTTTACTTTTAATTTCCCTTTAAATCTTGTTATTTCTAATTCTTTAAGATCTTATCCATTCCAAATTCATTTACCACTTACTACTTTAGGCCTTCCTCTTGTTCTCAATTTATAATCCACTAGAGGCCCTGTGCACGAATTCATGCACATTGAAAGGAAATTAATTAAAAGAAATGTTTTAGAGGCCAGCGAGGACCTTGGGGAGATTGGCTCCAGGGCATGTCTGGCATATCTCGCCCTGTCCGGATTGGGCCGATTGGGGCTAGGAAGGGACCAAGAGAGGGCTCCAGGGCATGTCTAGCCCAATCCCGATGGGCTGGACCCCAGCAGCAAGCTAACCTACCAGTTGGAGCGTCTGCGCCATGGTGGTCAGTGTGTGTCATAGTAACTGGTTGAACTGTCGAATGAATGGCTTTTATTATATAGGATTCTTAACACCCTTCCTTTATAATCTACATGATAATATTCTGGTTGGGATGATGTAGCGGAGCCAAGGCATTCAAGAAGGTGTGTTGCGTCCTGGCTGGTGTGGCCCAGTTGGTTGAGCTAGTCTCATACACCTATTCGATATTAAGGTCAGGGCATGTGATACTGAGGTCATGCAGACTCAATTCCCAGTAGGGGGCATGCAGGAGGTAGCTGATCAATGTTTCTCTCTCATATCAATGTTTTTCTCTCTTCCTCTCCTTTCTTATCTCTCCCCCCAAAAAACAAAAATCAATAAAAACATATTATAAAAAAAAGTTGTTGAGTAATGAATGAGCAGTCATATAATCTAATATAGGTATGTGAGGTAAGGACTAAGACCTCACCATAAGATTTAACCACATGAAGGTCATGAGTAGCATTTGTAAGTAAGTTTTGTGGAGTTTGAGGGGGAAGCCTTTCTGGCCTCCAGAAAATGGAGGAGAGGCGATAAAGACTAGAGAGGGTTTATTCAATTCTTTAAGGAGTTCTACTGTCATCTCCTTAAATGTTTAATATGATATAGTTATAATGGAAAACAGAATTCACATTTTGATTATGGCTCTTTGTAATTATCTTAGTGATGCTCCGGTGAGTGAACTGTCCCTTGAGCTACTTCTGCTTCAGGTTGTCTTGCCAGCGTTACTTGAACAGGGACACACACGGCAGTGGCTGAAGGGGCTTGTGCGAGCATGGACCGTTACTGCTGGATACATGCTGTAAGTACAGGCAGGTGACTCATAGGCATATTATATATCGATTAATGACCTTTCTGAAAAAGTAAGTTTCTTGTCTCAGGAAAAATTAGTTTTAATAAGAAATAATGTAGTGATATCTGCAGGTATATATAATACTTGTAAAATTTTTAATGGCAAAAAAATTTAAATCATTGGCATCACTTTGTGGAGCATGTATGCATATTCTTATTCTCTTACAGAAGTTTCCTGCTGGCCCAGGTTCATGTCATACACAGGGTAAAAAAAATTTTTTTAGTGCATTAAAAACAAACCAGTATACCCTTATTTTATTTTATTTACTTATTTAAAAAAAAATATATATATTTTAAATATAGATATTTTATATATATACATACACACACACACACACACACACACACACACACACACACACACACATATATATATATATATATATATATATATATATATATATATATATAAAATATATTTTTCACAGAGAGGAAAGGAGAGGGATAGAGAGCCAGAAACATCAATGAGAGAGAAACATCGATCAGCTGTCTCCTGCACACTTCCCACTGGGGACATGCCTGCAACCAAGGCACATGTTCCTGACCAGAATTGAACCTGAGACCCCTCAGCCCATAGGCCAGTGCTCTATCCACCGAGCCAAACCGGTCAGGGCTATACTCTTATTTTAAAAGTCTTAATCTGATATGAGCTCTTCTCAGATTTGGGTTTTTGGTCCTTTATTTAGCGTTGTTGCGTGTTTTTTTTGTGTGTGTTTTTTTAAGCTTTGTATGTTATGTACTTATTTAAAAGTTGAATCTTTGTGATTTAAACCATTTTTTTCTTTTCAGAAAATATATGACATTCTGTAGATACCTTAATGTGGCATATGTATTTGGCTATATGTGATCATTTATTTTTTTCCAACTGCCCTGTGTTTGCCCTGAGCCTTTTCCTCCTAACTCATTTTTACCTTAATTAATCTGGATTGGAGGTTTTAGTTGAGAATACATGTCAGAGCAGAGACTGTAGCCATCTATATAGAGAGAAAGAAATTGTTTTTTTCCTTAAGATGTTCACATAGAGTATCTTGTGTATTGTACTTTTTTTTTCTCTCCAGTTACTGATTTCTTTTCAGATACTGACTGAAGAAAACAAAATAAATTTAATTTACGAGATATTCTGTATACTAATTAACATTAAATTTGGAAAGGTTTAATTTAAGGTGGGCACCAACATTTAGACCAAATTGAGGCGATAGTACTGTGTACAGATTCTGCTTGTACATTTTCTACCCTAAATGATTATGAGTATTAAGTAAGTAAATCTCTTGTCTGCTGTTTACTATAATCCTGAAGTGAGGATTGTCACTGATGTAATTTTTTATAGGGATCTTCATTCCTATTTATTGGGAGACCAGGAAGAAAATGAGAACAGTGCAAACCAACAAGTTAACAATAACCAGCATGCTCGAAATAACAATGCTATTCCTGTGGTGGGTGAAGGCCTGCATGCAGCCCACCAAGCCATACTCCAGCAGGGAGGGCCTGTTGGCTTTCAGCCTTATCGCCGGCCTTTAAATTTTCCACTCAGGGTAGGTACTCTACAATTTAACCAAAATCAAGGTTTTTTCAAATTTCTATTGAGAAATTTTGGTGCTATTATTATTATTGATGTTAGCATGTAGTTTTCTGTGTAAACATGCCTTAGAGTGTCCTGATAAAAACTCATGGTTTAGTCCATTAATTATGTAACATGTTAATGTTAGGTAAGTTTATCAAATTTAGAGATGGATCATAGAATTGGGATTCTATGTGCTATTGTTCCATGCTGTTTGAAAGTAACTAAGTAAAAGACTCTAGAGCAAATACAAAATTAACATTTCAGCAATGTATCGGGAACTAAAATGGGCAGTTTAATGTTTTTCTCCTATTTAATTCTAGCCCACATACTTAAAGGTCTGAATGGTAATCTCATGTTTACGTTTGATTGCTTAAGGAAGAGATCCTTTGGTCTGAATGAGACATTTCCCCAAAATCACCATAAGTGTTCTTGACAAGGGTCACCAATGTTGTTAAATCCTATGGTCAGGTCTTGATTCTCATCTTGCTTGCTCTATTAGTAGTATGTTATATGATTGGTCACTCCTTGTTGGAGTGACCAGGAAGAAAAGTACTTTCAAAAGGACTTTTTTGAAAGGTGTTCAGGAATCTTTGTGGAAGTGATGCCTGAACTAAGTGTTCAAAGCTAGGAGGCCAGGCAGAGAGGAAGATGGAAAGGAGGGAAGGGCATTTCAGGCAGGTGTTGGGACAAGAGACAGGTGAGACTTGTAGGTTTGAAACTACAGGAAATTACATGTATTGAGAAGGTGGGGTATGTGTAGGCAAGTGATGAGAGATAAGAGGAAGCCCAGAGAGATGAAGGAAAGCCGGAAAAGATGAGGGGAAGCCCGGAGAGATGAGAGGGAACTGGGAGAGATTGGGGGGTTGAAGCTGAGAGAGATGAGGATCTTGGGATAAAAAGCCTCACAGTGTCCTCTTGGGAGTATTCTTGCCTGTGCTTTTCAGTCTTCCCACCAGAGCTCTGCCTGCTGGGCTTGGGAAGGCTTGTGCCAAGTCTGGTAGAAGGGAAGCAGCAGTCACTACCTTTCTGCCCACAGAGACATGTGCTGTTTTATCTTCTCAGTATAGGAGCCAGGAGCTGCGCATAGCTATTTACATGTAAATTTAATTAAAAGTGAATACAGTTTGTAAAAATGTGGGATGAGAGATATGTTAATTATCTCAATGGTGGAAATTCCCTCACAATGTAATATATAAGATCATGTGGTACACTTTAAATATATTATAATTTCTTATTAAACATTTTTATTGATTTCAGAGATGAATGGGGAGAGAGAGAAAGAAGCATCAATAATGATTGATTGGCTGCCTCTTGCACACCCCACACTGGGGATGGAGCCTGCAACTGGGCATGACCGGGAATTGAATTGGGAACTCATGGTTCATAGGTTGGTGCTCAATCACTGAGTCACGCCGGCTGGGCAATATATTACAATTTTATTTGTACACTATACTACCATAAAGCTAAAAAAAAAAAAATACATTTTTTTTTGTAGGACACACACACACACACACACACACACAGTAAATACAATTTAAAATTCCGTTACTCTTGCACATTGATCCCATGTCAGGTGCTCAGTGGCCACAGGTGCCAGTGGCTCCTTTGTTGGGCAGCACATTACTGAAAAGTTAGCTTTCCCTTCATGAATAGTGGTTTTTGAGAATTTGATTTTTAAAAAGTGCATATTCAGTCACTAGTGACTGACACTATACTTTCTGTCTGGAAGATAAAACAGGCTGGGCGCTTAATGTGTTAATTCATTGTGAGGGAAAATTTAAGCTGATAAAAAAATATATATATCTATATCTATCTATCTATCTATCTATCTGTTACTTGCTGATATATATAGCTGATTATGTGACTATAGACACTTATTTTCCTTTTGGCTGAAATTGCAGGTAATTTTATTTAAAATTAAAATTTCCTTTATGTTAAACGGGTGGAACCCTGGAAATGCCAATTCAGACCATTTCTTTTTATTGGGAGAATTGTGTTGATTTTTTGAAGGGTGATATAAAGTGCATGTAGCCCATATGAAACATTTATGCACTCTCATGTTTTGCCTTGCAGATATTTTTGTTGATTGTCTTCATGTGCATAACCTTACTGATTGCCAGCCTCATCTGCCTTACTCTTCCAGGTATGAGCTTGTTATAATAGCTCTCTACTAATGACATCATAAAAAGGTGCTGTGTTTTAAAAAGGGTGTATCTTGCTGAGATGTGACCATTCATCAGATAATATTGAAATAGTTTTTCCTTCATTTCTGATTGAAATGGGGTATTGATCTATTTAGGGTTCTCCATCTCATCAGACTCCTTTGTATTAGAGCTGAATGGTACAAAGTCAGGATAAATTTGTGATTCATTTTTGGAGGTCAAGTACTTGTGGCCACTCAGTTTTCATGGACTTTGCCTTATTACTGTGGGTTTTCAAAAAAGTCAGCTGAGTGGCTTAAGTCATTTTCTCAAGTCACTCTTTTGGTATTAATTTGGTTTATTCCAATTAAGTAGGTAGTTTTCAGTCCACGGCAAGCTCTTAATAGAGACCTTTATGAAGTCATACAGTTACCTTTTTTATTGTCTGATATTCACAAATACTCAACTTTAAATTTCAGTTAAACAACATTTCTTAATCTTATAAGAAGCTGTGGATGAATATAAGTAGTTTGCCATCTTATCTGGAGGTCAAGGGTAAATGGGGTGGGCCCCAAATCTAGTGACAAAGTGGCAGGAACACTTGCTGCCTCCACCCTCTCAATTAGTGTGTATAGAGATCCAGAAAACTTCAAATTGTACTGATATTGTGTTAGCCACTTAAATAATCATTAAGTGGAAGATAATTTTGAGCTCTTGTAAAGCATATACATGTATACTGAGTAAGTGTCTTGATTATAACACTAATTCAATATAATTTTGTAAATCAAATTTGTGTTAGTAAGTACTTGAGTTTTCCCATGTGTGCTAAGACCATGAAGGAGCAACTAGGAAGTTTTACTTCCAAGGAAGATTCTAAATATAAATACACACACACACACACACACACACACACACACACACACACACACACATTCTTTCACACACACTCATCTGTAGGAATTGTGATTTACCTTAAACTGGTAAAAATAAAGATTTTTCCTTTTTTTTTTTTTCCTTTCTATGTATTTATTTTTTAATCCTCAACCAAGGATATTTTCCACTGATTTTTAGAGAGAGGATGAGAGAGGGAAAGTCAGAAATATCGATGCGAGAGAAACACATCAATTGGTTGCCCTCTATATAAGCCGGACCAGGTCCAGGCCAGGGAGGATCCTGCAACTTATGTACCTGCCCTTGACTGGAATCAAACCTCGGGACCCTTAGGCCCACAGTCCAATGCTCTATCCACTGAGCCAAATGAATTTGCCTCTGTTGACTAATAAGTTTGCCAACCACTAGGGCAGTGTTCGGCAAACTCATTAGTCAACAGAGCCAAATATCAACAGTACAACAATTGAAATTTCTTTATATGTATATAATTGATATTTTAGAGAGGAAGAGAGGGATAGGAGTTAGAAACATCGATGAGAGAGAATCATTGATCATCTGCCTCCTGCACACCCCCTACTGGGGATGTGCCCTCAACCAAGGTACATGCTCTTGACCGGAATCGAACCCGGGACTTTTCAGTCCACAGGCCCATGCTCTATCCATTGAGCCAAACCGGTTTCGGCTGAAATTTCTTTTGAGAGCCGAAAACTGACTTCTGCGCATGGGCCATGAAGTTTCAATCGCATTGTACGTGCACACCCGCACGTAGTATTTTGTGGAAGAGCCACACTCAAGAGGCCAAAGAGCCACATGTGGCTTGCGAGCTGCAGTTTGCTGACCACTGGTCTAGGGTGAGATTTTTCTTTTTTTACTGTTTCTGCATAATAATTTTCAACCTTTAGAACTTTGCTCTTTAAGCTCACTACTCATCACAGCTGTTAAAATGACAAAGTTTAATCATTGGGAGTAATGTAAACATTGAGAAAACTTAGTTTTTGAAATTTGAACAGATTTATCATTTTTATGCTTCATTTTTACATTTTTATCAGAGATATTAAGAAAAAGTTAACAAGAGGGAAACCTAGTTTTAGTACTTGAATTTGAGACTAAAAGTACTTTTAATTTCATTAAAGATTGTTAACTAAATATTTCCCTGTTAATTCAGTCCCACCATCTAGTGGAAAGAATGCAGTTAGGTTTAATCGTAGAAATGCTTAGTGTCATAGTACACATTTAAGGTGGTGAGGATGCTATTGCCCCCATAGATTACTTTTCTGTAGCTGCAGTTTAATTGATGGTAGCTGCAAACTGAAACCTAACCCTGTCCTCTCAAAAACACTTTTGCTTAGGAGATTATGAAGTATGGAATAGAAAGTGGCCTTTACATTTTTAAAAATCAAAATGAAAAATAAAAAAACCCTTGTAGTAGAATATATATATATATATATATATATATATATATATACACACACACACACACACACACACACACACACACATACACACACACATTTTTACAGAATTATCAATTTAACATGCAAATGTGTTCATGTTATGTAACATTTACAGGTATTTGTCTTTAAAACTGAAATTATCTTTTCACCTAAGTCATTTGTAAGGCTGTCAAGAAGTGTGTTTATCAGCATTATGTCCTGTAAGACTTGACAGTTGAGCTGGTTTAGTTTGATCAGAGACTGCGGTTTCAGTGGTCAAGAGCATGTAGACATGAGTTGAAATTCAGCCTCTACCCTTGTGTGAGCTTGATTGGGCAAGCTTCTATTGCTGAGCCTAGTTCCTTAATCTTCAAAATGGAAGTAGTAGCTATCTTGAGGGATTGTAAGAAGGATTAATGATAGTATATGGAAATTGCTCAGGACAACCACTAGTTCCTTTTAGAATTCAAAAATAACTGGTGGTTTTGCATTAAGGAGAAATCAGTTAATAGAAAAATGCATTGTAAATATGGGTCTTGCAGTTCTCTCTAGTCTTATTAAGAAGTAAGCATATAAAGAACATTACTAAATAAATGATCTTGCTTGTGAGTCAGGTTTATTTTGTGAGTACATTGTAGAATTTATAATAACTGTATCTGAGGCTATTCCTTAGACTAACGGTCACCAACCAGTGGTCATGGACCACTGGTGGTCCGTGAAGTCTGAAAGGTTGGTGACCACTGCCTTAGACAACTTTCAAATCTGTTTCCTAAGTTCCTAGAATATTTAGATTCTAATTTTTCCCAAGAAAATTAAGATGACATTTTTTGGTTATTGTGTTTTCAAATGTTGTTGTGCCCACTTATTAAAATAAACTTAGTTTTCTGTCTAGACAGTCATTTGAAATAAAATTGTTCTAAATTATTTATATATATATATATATATATATATATATATATATATATATATATGTTTTTTTTATTGACTTTTACAGAGAGGGAGAGAGACAGAGAGCTAGAAACGTCGATGAGAGAGAAACATTAACCAGCCGCCTCTTGCACACCCCCTACTGGGGATGTGCCCGCAACCAACGTACATGCCCCTCACTGGAATCGAACCCGGGACCCTTCAGTCCTCAGACCGACGCTCTACCACTGAGCCAAACCGGTTTCGGCTGTTCTAAATTATTTTTAATGCCTCTAAATATTAAAAGTATTGACAGCACAAGTAATAGAAAATAAATTTTCTAACTTTTGTCTTATATGCATAATGATTTTATTTTGTGACAAAAACAGTGAAAACAATAACCTCTTAACCTTTTTAAGCCCCGAAAGCACAAGTAATGGCAAGTCAGAATGCATGTCACAGGAGAGGTCCTTCCCAGTGATTAGCTGTGTTTTGGTTGTATTTTAATCAGATCATTGTATTCTTTAAATGTGAGGGTTTTTTTGTTTTGTTTGTTTTTTGTTTTTTTTTTGCTTTTAATGAAGACAATAATATATCAAAATGTGTTATCTTTTGACTAATTGCTTAAAATGATTGAAAATACCAATAAAATAACATTAACATTAAGATTGTAGTTTTCTTTTTGTAGCCAAGTGTCTTATTTATCAGCCTTTCTATTTTCAGTATTTGCTGGCCGCTGGTTAATGTCGTTTTGGACAGGGTCTGCCAAAATTCATGAGCTTTACACAGCTGCTTGTGGTCTCTATGTTTGCTGGCTGACCATAAGGGCAGTGACAGTGCTGGTGGCCTGGATGCCCCAAGGACGAAGAGTGATCTTCCAGAAGGTTAAAGAGTGGTCCCTTATGGTAGGTTTTTATAATAAAGACTGATCTAATAGGAATAATGGATATTTTTCAGCTATTTAAAAAATTTTTTTTCACCTTTGTTTCTTCATTATTCTGTTAGTTTCAAGAGAGTTTGTTTTTTTAATTAAAAGTGCTAGTCCTTTTAAGATAGTGGCTTTCTAGTTTGATCTAAGAACCACAGCCAAATGTAATTGAGAGGTAAAAGAAAGTCATGTTATTAAGTGATTCAGTAAGGCTCTTGAGTAAATAATAGAATTAGAAAACTTAGTTTGGAGATTTATTATATTTTTAAGGAAAAATGTATTATGTAGAATTTAAAATAAATTTAAGTAGAAATTTTCTATAATGGTATTTTTTTCTAAAATTTGATTTTTTGATCTATTTGAATATGTAAAATCTTAACTTCAGGATTGAGTCAGTTTTTCAAATAAATTCCTTTCCTTTAATTACACAATATATGGCTAATTCAAGAATGTCTTGGCTAATGTGAAAGTGTAGGAAATATGTAGGAAATAAATAATGGAAATTTTTCCTCTCATTAAAGAACTTAATTGCCACAAAGATAGAGGAAATGTCACTGTAAGGTCTGAGTATGGCACTTTATTGGTTGTAATGTAGGTAACTGCTTATGCCTTTTAATTTGAACAACCAACTCTTGTTTTGTATTTGGATTTATATTTTGGTTTCAGTGAAAGTTTATGTCTAATATTAATTTTGAAAGAAAATAATATGAGATTCATTGTATATTATAAGTGGAGAGATTTAATTGCTATTTAATTTATAAGCTAATGAAACACTTAATTATATTTAAAATACAGAAACCACCTAATTCTAGTTTTCATTTGATGTTCTTTTAAATCATTAATTTGCCACTTAAAGGAGCAAGTACTGCGTCTTCAAGCACACCTTACTATCACTGTTGTTGAAACACATGTACTCACAGAGACTGTCTTAAGAAAAGGGAGGTAATCAGACATCAATGCCACTTTTTAAAGACTAATTGATTCCTTTGTCAGGATTTCATAGTGGCTCTTTTATCCTACCTCTTATTTTCTCTTTTTGTATACTTTTTTCCATTTTAAAACTTTGTTCAAATTCTAGAGCTGCGTTGTCTAATATAGTAGCCCTGTGGCTAATGGCTACCATACTGGATAATACAGATGTAGGACATTTCTATTATAGTAAGTTCTGTTGGAGAACACTGTTCCAAATGGAGACACTTTGATCATCTTAATTACCTTAATTAGGACTGTGCTGAACCCTTTCTCTATACCAGTCAACCTCAGGAGTCATAGGTCGGCTTGTGGGTGGGTTACCATTGGATCAGAGGCCTGGGACAGTCAGTAGTTTTTCTTGGACAAACAAAAGCCTACTACTAAGAATGAGATTGAGAAAAACAGCCCAGCCACCTAGTTAATATCCTATAAAATAAAAACCTAATATGCTAAGTGTCTGGTTGTCTGCTCAACCAATCAAAGCATAATATGCTAACGATATGCTAAGACCACTCAGCTGTTTGCTATGACATGCACTGACCACCAGGGGGCAGATAGTCTCTCAGTCACTATGATGTGCACTGACCACCAGGGAGCAGATACTCCGCTGGGTAGATTAGCTTGCTGCTGGGGTCTGGCCAATTAGAACTGAGCAAGATGGGCCAGACACACTCTGGAGCCTTCCTGCAGTCCCTCCCCAGCTGGCCAACCTCCCACCTCCTTCCCCAGCCCCAATTGTGCACTGGTGGGTTCCTTGGCCTGGCCTGCAACCTCTTGCAGTCCAGGACCCTGTGGGGGATGTTGAAGAGACGGTTTCGGCCAGATCTCGCATGCCAGGCCAAAGGGACCCCACTGGTGCACAAGTTTGTGCACCAGGCCTCTAGTATGTAATAAAATGAAATTTCTATAATATATTTTTAAATATATTTTATTGATTTTGTACAGAGAGGAAGGAAGAGAGATAAGAGAGTTAGAAGCATCGATGAGAGAGAGTCATTGATCAGCTGCCTCTTGCACACCCCCTACTGGGGATGTGCCCGCAAACAAGGTACATGCCCTTGACCGGAATCAAACCTGGGACCTTTCAGTCTGCAGGCCAATGCTCTATCCACTGAGCTGAACTGGTTTTGGAGAAATTTCTATAATTTTGTAGCAATAAAGCATAGTCATATGTTTTCATTATAACTTGAGCTTTTATAGTCATATATTCAAGTCTCATTTAAACTTGTAGCATAGTATGTGCAAGTTGTTTAAGGTAATGTATTCAATCTGTTAGACAAAAGGGCCAAAAGAAAAACTTCCTGATGAAATGAAGAGCTTGGATAAAAGTCAGAAAGACTCATTAATGACATGACCTTTCGTTTCCTAATAGATAATGAAGACTTTGATAGTTGCAGTGCTGCTGGCTGGAGTTGTCCCACTCCTTCTGGGACTCCTGTTTGAGCTGGTTATTGTTGCTCCCCTGAGGGTTCCCTTGGATCAGACTCCCCTTTTTTACCCATGGCAGGTAAGTGTGTGTTTTTTGCACATGATATTTCTATACAGATTTGGCATGAGACAAATCTTTAATTTTTAAAGTGATTTTAATCACTTGTTTAGAAAGACTCCTTAACAAACAGTATGTGCCTTGTAGTGCTATGCAGGGTGTAGCATTGAGAAAAACACGGCAGCTCCATACCCAGGAGCCGGCCTGGCGCTATGAGCTAGGTCTTGGTGTTCTGTTGGGCATCAACCATTTACAGAATGTCAGCATTACATAAGGCCACTCTGACCATGATGGATCAAGACAAAACTAGAACCCTGCTGTAGTCATGTCTGAACACAAGTAAAACATGAGTATTGTCCAAACCACAAAAATGCCCAATATCCCCAGTCCCAGCAAACATGATTGGCTGTTGCTTTATTACCAATACAGTTTTAGCCTCAGTCTGTCCCTCAGTCTGATTTATTAAGATATCCAATTATAGAGCCTCTGCTTTCTAATAATATCTGCCACAGAGCAAGGCCCTGCTTCCTTAAATCCTTCCCAAATCACCTCACATAAGCTGAAATCCTGTATCAGGCCCTTCATAACATGTTGTTACTAAGCATTTTCAGTTCCCCATTCTGTGTTCTTCCTCACCTCAGTGAGTAGTAAATGCAACTTGTTCAGTTACATGCATGTTCTCGTGATATTGACAGTACCCAACATCGTTTCCTTAGAGAATTATTTGAAAGTATCCAATTTCGAGAATGATTATATATTGTGACCCAGCAGTTTCCCTCTTCAGAATCTGCTGCAAAGAAACATTTACACAAGTCAGTGTATGAGAAGGCAAGAACAAGGCTTTTTCTGCTGCTATATCATTTTTCTAATGTAAAAAAAAAAAAAAAATTTGAAGCAACTCTGATGTCCATTAATAAAATGAATAAATAAAATGTAGTACATTTTTACTTTGGAATTTATTATAGCAGTTAAAAGAATGAAGTAGAGCCTGGCTGGTGTTGCTCAGTGGTTGAGCGTCATCCTATGAACCAGGAAATCATAAGTTCAATTCCCAATCAGGGCACATGCCTGGGTTTTGGGTTTGATCCCCAGTGTGACATGCAGGAGGCAGTCAATCAATGATGCTCCATCTCTTCATCTCTGAAATCATTAAAAAATATATATATATTTTAAAAAGAACAAAATAGAACTGTCTGTTTTGTTACTTTTGTACTCTTTTTTTTTTTATATATATATACATTTTATTGATTTTTTAACAGAGAGGAAGGGAGAGGGATAGAAAGCTAGAAACATCGATGAGAGAGAAATATTGACCATTTGCCTCCTGTACACCCCTTACTGGGGATGTGCTCGCAACCAATGTACATGCCTTTGACAGGATTCGAACCTGGGACCTTTCAGTCTGCAGATCGATGCTCTATCCACTGAGCCAAACTGGTTTCAGCTAGAACTGTCTGTTTTGATATACGTATCTCTCAGATGTCTTTTGAAAATTTTTAATTTTTTTTTATTGATTTCAGAGAGGAAGGGAGAGAGCTAGAAAGATAGAAACATCAATGATGAGAGAGAATCATTGATTGACTGCCTCCTTCACGTCCCCTACTGGGGGAGATCGAGCCCACAACCCGGGCATGTGCCCTTGGCCGGAATTGAACCTGGCACCCTTTAGTTCTTAGGCCAATGCTCTATCCACTGAGCCAAACCAGCTAGGGTTGTTTTTAATTATGTATTGACTTTAGAATGCTAGGGAGGGTAAGAAAGGGGGGGTGGGGAGAGACATCTATTTATGTATTTGTTGACCGGATATCAAACCCACAACCTTGATGTATCGGGATGATGCTCTGACCAACTGAGCTGTCTGGCAGGGCTCAGGTATATTTTTGAATAAGGGAAAAACAAGTTGTACACAGACATGTGCAGCATGGTGTCCTTAACATTAAAACCCTGAACTTTGAAAACAGAACTACTTGCTTTTTTTCCATTATTGACTCAAAGCTCCTTACCTTTCCTGCATCAAGTAGCTGCAGATCTGTGGGAGACTGAGGAATGCAGCAGAGGACCTAGTGTGTATTCTGGCTGAGGGAAAACACTGGAAAGTAGTGGGTCTTGAAAGAGCTTGAATCTCAGTGATCTGTGGACCTCTTCAGTGAGGCATCTCCCACGGGGAGGAGCCTGGGGTGGCAGTGGAGGTTCTAGTAACAGTTCAGCAGAGCTGTGAAGGCACCAAGCTAGAAGCTGTCTGAGAGCCTTTGGGTGGTTTCTTTAGGCCAAACATGGCTCCACATGTTGACATAATCAGCTCAGTTAACGCCAATAAAACAGCCTAGCATAGCTTGATGAAATCAAGTCATGGCACTGTTTAATTTATTTGCTCCTTGAAATCTCCATTAATGTTATGCTTTTCCTAATTCTCTTGGGAAAATAAAGTAAATTTCTGAAAGATACAAGAATGATTTTGATAGGAATGTTGTACTTAAGTCATTGAGAAGAATTCCTGTATTTTCCAGCATAATGTTAGTCTTCTGTAAAACACTTAACTCATCCTGCAAAACTTCTGTTTTGAAATGAAATAATTAAGAAAATTATATAGCTTCTATGTTGGGGTACTGCTAAAAATAACAGCAAAAATCTGTTAAATGTTTTTTATTAACCTAGGACTGGGCACTTGGAGTCCTGCATGCCAAAATCATTGCAGCTATAACATTGATGGGTCCTCAGTGGTGGTTGAAAACTGTGATTGAGCAGGTAAGTAAAATCATTTTTTCAGAAAAAGACTGGGAGTAATCATGATTATATTTAGCTAATGGGACTCATTTTTCTTTTTTCATCTTTTCTGAGTTTTTACATTTTCTTTAATAAGTATATATAACTCTTTTTTAAAAAGGAGGAGTCATTTGCTCTTTCATCATCATGAATTTTCATCTTCCACTCTTAAGAGTTTTCTTACCTAAAGGTTAATCAGGTGCTTAAAGTACCTAGAACCTTATCCAAAGTAAAGACAAAAATTAGCATTGTGCTTTTTTTCAGGGCAGGAGTTCTGATGGAGGCTTGTTGGTTAGTTTTCTAAGCCTGTAGTAGGGAAAAGCACAAAAAATAAAAGGCAGAAAAAATAATAGATTACAAAATTAGAGCTGTTTGAGAATATTCTAGCTATGTAGTTCCTAAGAGTGTCATGGAACCATCAGATAATATGGTCATTGTGGTTATAAAACCTTGAAAAAGAGATTGTGCTTCTGTATTCTGATAATAAGACTAGGAAATATACAATTCATTTTAGGAAGATTCCCATCTAAAATAGCCAACCTAACAGATTTGATGCTTAATTAAGTTTTAGTTATCTAGAAAATGTTCTTGTGGACAAACCTCTTATCCAGTGCCCAATAAATAAAGTGTTACAATTCTGTAGCAATAAAGGTGCACCTACTTTTTATGTATAGGAAATAAAGGGCAGTTGTTTCCAGCTCAGTCTGCACAAGAAAATGGTAATAATAAAAAAATAAATCCTTATACCTGGAGATTAGTGGGGGTGGGGAGAGACAGGGAATTGCTGTGTATTTGCATGCATCACTTACGTGTGGGCTTACTCTGTAAGTGCTCTAAAGTGAGGTGGATTGTGGACTGCTTGGCAGCATATCCATTCACAGTAGGAGTTCGGGCTACTACACTCTAGAGTCTCCAGGTAAGACTCCTTTGCCCTTGCAAAGGAGAATGGAGAATAAGGTTTAATGCTGGAGGCTGTGAAACACTGTTGATCTTTGTAATACTTTGCTCTCTGTTGCTTTCTTCTCACATACATATGTGTAAGTTTAAAATGGTTGAGAAACACTAGGATGCCTTACAACATGACTAAATGCATTTGGGTTAACCAGGTTTCTTTGGGATTAGAAGCTACCTCTAGGGGTTTAATCCAGTTGGTCATTCTTTCTAGCCCTCTCCTGAGGGATAGAGTGAGTTGTACCTTGAGGTGTGACTGGAGGCAAGGTGAGGTTGAAGTGCTAGGGAAGAACAGGTACACCACTCTAGTCCTTTTGTCCTCTTCTGCATGCCATCTTTGTTTCCCATTATTACCAGTGTTTTTCCTCTCATCGACTCCTTCCTATACAGTACTGTTTAGTAGAACTTTCTGGGTAAGGTTATGAAAATGCTCTAGAAATTTTTGAATTAAAAAATACTGTGGAATAATTTTATATTACATTTTTACATAAAATATCTTTGGTTTGTTAAAATTTGATTATACAAGTTTTTCAGAGGCATGTTCTTTATAATGTTTTTTTATTTATATAAATAAAAGCCTAAGTGATCATTATGACTGGTCAACCATATGACCAGTTGCTATGATGCACACTGACCACCAGGGGGCAGATGCTTAATACAGAAGCTATCCCCTGGTAGTCAGTGTGCTCCCACAGCCAACCTCCTTGTGGCCTGCCAGCCTCCTGTGATCCTATTCCTTTCCCCTTCCGGTCTGGCCAGGCTGAGGGACCCCACCTGTGCATGAATTGGTGCACTGGGCCTCTAGTATTCAGATAAAATGAATGCAGTCTTAAATGGTAACAGATGATTATGGAGTTACTTTTTTTTTTAAAAAATCAATCTTTTTTGTTTATATTACTACAAAGGTTCCTCATTTCTTCCCTCCTCCACCAGGTTCCCACCCCACCCTCTGCCCTTTCCCCACCCCGCATTGTCCTCATCCATAGGTGCACAGTTTATGTTCAGTCTCTTCCTGCATCCACCACTCCCCCCCTGAGAATTGTCAGTCCACTCCCCTCCTGTATCTGATTTTTTTATAATCAACAGTTAATATTGTTCATCAGGTTTTTTGATTTCCTTGTTGTTGTTGTTTTTAATTAATAAACTTTTATATTTTTAAGAATAAATTTTAAAATCTGATAATTTTAAAACTTGTTTTTTCTGCCCTGGGAACTGAGAAGCAAACTTGTTTACATGTAAACTTGCCCTTAGGCTATAAAAAGGCATAGCCATTCAAATGTAAATAACACATTGTTTAAAGATAGCTGCTGGCTGGAATTGGATTACCTGTTCTGGGTGGGAAGGGCATGTCCTCCCCTTTCTCCATTGAAATTAAGGTGTTACCTTTAAAACCTCTTTTTGGCAAGAGACCTTAAACTTTCAGAACTTTAAATTTTTCAGGTAGTAAATCAATTACTTACAGTATTTTCCAGTGTATAAGACGACCCCCTAATTTTTACAGTTAAAACATAGGTTTAGGCCTATATTCGCTTTATAAGACTACCCCCCACTTCAAAGAATAGACTCACTTTGCTGTCAAGATCTGTAGGTAATTTTTATGCAATTTTAGTCTTTTGCCCCCGATTTTCAGTTGACTTTTTTTTGTTTCAAAAGTCGTCTTATATGCCAGAAAATACGGTAGTAGTTTCTCAAATCAATAATACCTCCACATGCCCAAGGATACACTTCACACAAAAGACACTTCCAAATAGATCAACCAACCTCATCCAGATCCCACTTAAGGCACTCATGGATCAACACCCCAGCGCTATAATAACTCAACACATCCAGATCTAAGCCTTCATCACTTGATTCAGCAGACCCTCAAGTTCCCCCAAAAGTTTCCAGCCATGTCTGAGAAGCAGCCCTGGGGCATGAGCAGACAAGGAGCGAGCTGTTCCGGGCCCTGCTGCTTCGGACCTGGCATCTGTTGCTCTGTTCCACTCCACAATCTGATGCTCCGGGTCTGGCCGCTGCCTCTCCGGGCCTGGCTGCTGCTGCTCTGTGCCTGGCTGCTCCTGACCCGGCTGCTCCGGGCCCGGCCGCTCCAGGTCTGGCCGCTTCCGGCCTGGCTGCTGCTGCTCTGGGCCTGCTCCTCCCGACCCGGCTGCTCTGGGCCCGGTCGCTCCCGGCCCCTCCCGGCCTGGCTGCTGCTGCTCTGGGCCTGGCTGCTTCCGACCGGGCTGCTCTGGCCCCGGCCCCTGCTGCTCCGGGCCTGGCGCTCCCGGCCTGGCTGCTGTTGCTCTGGGCCTGGCTGCTCCTGACCCAGCTGCTCCGGGCCCAGCCGTATGGAGTTACTTTAATATGGTCTTAAACTAATAATATTGGATGCCATCTGGTATTGTACAGATCAAGGCTAGTATAGTTATGATTCTAGATTAGTGTCTTATCATTTCATATCTTAGCAGAGTTAATTACAAAGTATAAGGAGGTAAATGCATTTATTTAAAAACCTGTGGGTACCACACTTATGTTTGTATTTCAGAATTTGCTTTGACTTTGGAAAAATAATCAGTTTGAATTCTTTGGGACTGGTAGATTCAACTCCCTGCAACATGGATTCAGTAGAGATTACTCTGTAAACTTGGAGGAATTGTTTTGTATCCTCATTCTCATATTTCCCCCTATTTTCAGGTTTATGCAAATGGCATCCGAAACATTGATCTTTACTATATCATTCGTAAACTGGCAGCGCCTGTGATTTCTGTGCTCTTGCTGTCCCTGTGTGTACCTTATATCATCGCATCTGGCATTGTTCCTTTACTAGGTGAGTAATGCTGGCTGGGGAACTTGAGAGAATACCTTTACTTTATTTTATTTTTAATATATTTTTATTGATTTCAGAGAGAAAGGGAGAGGGAGAGACATAGAAGCATCAATGATGAGAGAGAATCATTGATTGGCAGCCTCATGCATGCCTCCTGCTGGGGTTTGAGCCAGCAACCTGGGGATATGGCCCTGACCAGGAATTGAACCATGACTTTCTGGTTCATAGGTCTACTACACTCAACCCCTGAGCCACTCGGGCTCAGCGGGAGAGCACCTTTATTAACATTGTGATATTATTGTTATTTCTGGTACCATAGGTTGGCTGCCCCCAAATGCTTTATTTGTAAATATAAACCCAGCAAAAACAATGATTTCAAAAAACAATTTTCCTTAATTTGACTACTCAGAGCAAGATTAAGATGATCATAAAGCCTTTGGTACAGTTTTGTTTTTTTCTAGGCAGATGAGAAAGTATTGACATTTATACTCTTCCCCAAAATAGGCAAGAACAGATATCCTTCAAGTTGTCTTGTAACTAGAAGTGCTGTATCACATACTTATAAAATTAAGGATATGTTGTAATTAATTTTAAAATGTTCTTTAGCATAAAAGGAAAACCCAAGAGGAGTTGCTAATTTGTGACAATTCATCAGCTAGAAATGATCAGTTTTGAACTGAAGAACCCCCACAGGCACTTAAACCCAGCATGTGCTCAAAATTATAAGCACAAAGTTTCCCACTTTAAATATTTTTCTTGTGAATTTACTCATACTGACTAGTGTTATCATCCTTCAAATTGCATGAGTCAGAAACCTTGAAGGGCATTCATGTTACCTAAGGCTCTCTGCTCTCCATACTCAAATGGTCTTCAGGTCCCACTAACCCGACATCTGAAACTCATTCTTTCATTTCTGGCACTCTTACTCATGGCTCGTTGAGCTGCATTTCATCTCTCACCTTAACATCAACAGCCTCCTGTCTAGTTTACCTGCTTTGATAACTAATTCATTGTCTACACTGCGGCCACAGTGACTTTTAAAAGGATGAGTCTCATTGTTTCTCTTCAATGAACATCCTTTCTTTGTTCCCTCTATGGCCTTTAGAACATAATCCAGCTCCTAGGCTTATTTCAAAGACTCCTCCTGGTGACCCAGTTTGACCTCACTTGTTGACTCACTTCATTTTTAAAAATATATATATATTTTATTGATTTTTTACAGAGGGGAAGGGAGAGTGATAGAGAGCTAGAAACATCGATGAGAGAGAAACATCAATCAGCTGCCTCCTACACCCCCCACCAGGGATGTGCCTGCAACCAAATGCCCTTGACCAGAATCGAACCTGGGACCTTTTAGTCCACAGACCAACACACTATCCACTGAGCCAAACCGGTTTCAGCGTGATTCACTTCATTTTATATGTGACAGGTTCTAATTAAACATCACCGACCAGTTCCCTCTTCTTTGTGAAAGAACATATTTGTATTTCACTGTCATTTCATTTACACTAGAGTTCTCCTTTTTTTGGTTTACAGGTGTTACTGCAGAAATGCAAAACTTGGTCCATCGGCGGATTTATCCATTCTTACTGATGGTTGTGGTATTGATGGGGATCTTGTCATTCCAAGTCCGCCAGTTTAAGCGCCTTTATGAACATATTAAAAATGACAAGTAAGTCTGGACTTCCATAATTTAGACACTCATATTAAGATTTCTCACTTGTTAATGTTTGCATTTAATGTGATGAATCACATAAGGGAAAATTGCTCAGATTCTGAATGTATTTTGAGGAAGAATTAATAGGACTTGGTAACAGATTTTCAACTGGTGTGCTGCAGGAATTTTTAAAACATATAATACCTGACTATTTAGTCAGGGCCACTAATAACGTTTGATGTGAATGAATAAAAATTAAACCTATTACTCTGTAAAATCTGCAAAAATTATATCTTTTTTGGTGTGCCACAGAATTTTAGTAATTTATGTGTGCTATGAGATGAAAAAGGTTGAAAATTGCTGATATACATGAAAAGTGAAAAGACTGGGAGAAAATGGTTTGAGGAGGAAGATTTTTCTTAGTTCATTTCAGAGGTTTCAGATAATTTGATTTGACAAGATATAAAATAGTTTGAGATGTAAAGAAATCTATGTTAAGAATTTGCAGTACCTCTCTAAGCCTTTTTTGCAATCAAGGGCTATTAGGTTACTCTGACGACTGCTGAGGGAGGCTGCAAGGTTATTGCAAATGTATCGAGCCTCTTTTGAGAAAACTCTGTGACCTTACCTCACTAAGAGATTGAGAACAGCTCAGGATAGCAGCCATTTGACCTTCCATGTCCTCACAGAAGGCTGAGTCTTGCTCTGCTTCAGTGTTGTCTAGCAAAAGTAAAAGTGAGTTTATAGTTATCCGTCCTGGTTTGCCTGGGAGAGTCCCAGTTTACACATGCTGCTTTCATGTCATCTTTAACAGAAACCTCGGTTTGGACAGCAAATTATATACTCACCTTATTACTCTGAGGACTCCTACGAGTATTATTTTTTAACTTTAGAATGTTCAAGGCTTCTCCAAAGCCTATACTGATAGTGGAAAACACAAGTGCATTTTTAAAAAAAATATATTTTATTGATTTTACACAGAGAGGAATTGAGAGGGACAGAGAGTTAGAAACATCGATGAGAGAGAAACATCGACCAGCCGCCTCCTGCACACCCCCCACAGGGGATGTGCCTGCAACCAAGGCACATGCCCCCGACTGGAATCGAACCCGGGACCCTTCAATCGCAGGCCGATGCTCTATCCACTGAGCCAAACCGGTCCCGGCCTCAAGTGCATTTTTAGGTGATCGGAGCACAAAGTCTTTCAGACATGAAAGAAGGGGAAGGAGGTTTCAGTGATGAGACTCTGCTTTCTCACTTCACTGAGTGAGAGTATGTTTTGGCAATGTCTTACTGGACATTCCTTGATCTGCCATCAATGCTTCCAAATGGTATGGTACTTACACACTTGTACCCTGCCCCTCTAGCTTGTTGCCTTTCAGTTTTGTCACAGGCTTCCAGGGGTCAAGCTCAAGGTTATTCCCTCAAGTTTAGTGAAGCACATGACTGCTGCTTTTTAGCAACCCCGGCTGATGTCATGGGCTGTAATGTTCTGGTGGAGGACTTCCAGCCTTGCCATTTCAACCACAGTTACTTCTGTCTGTATCTGTTGTCCTGCACTCTTGGCCATAACCTTCCTGTCAACATGTCATATGAATTAGGAAAACTTTCATATTCTGCTCTTGAACCATTACCCTCCCTTCCCCCCCACACACACACCTGTCACTCGCATACACTCCTTTTATCATTTCTCATTTGATATCATTGAAATCATTGTCCTTTGATATCTCCTTTTCTCTAGAGCTAGAGCTGTACAGGTTCTACTAAAAAGGTTAGGGTAAGTCCTCCCTACCCAGCTTTTTGACTGTTGTATTTTCAGTTCGTTTCTTCAGATCTGCCCACTAAGCTGCTTCATAAAATACGGTCCATACAGATAAATTCCTGCATAAGTTTCTTCTGCCTTACCCTCCTCGGGCCTCTGAGTGTATGAGTTCACGAGAAGCCCTAACCTACAGACTGGGGCATGTGCCCTGTTGTCCACACTGAGGCCTCTGACCTGTGCCGCTCAGGTCTTTGCTCTAGGAAGACCAATGGAAGGTCTTCCACCCCTCACTATAAGGCACCTGCCTCTGTGCCTTTGGCAGATGTTCATTCTAGACTTCCCTTCTCCCTATCTAACCATGAAAGCAGGAGTGGAGTGATCTGATTTTCATTTTTATAAAAGATCTCTGACTGCTGTTTGGAAGTATGTTTCAATATGTAAGACCATATAAGAGAGTGACTACCTTGTTTTTACATCCTAGGTATCTTGTGGGCCAGCGCCTTGTGAACTACGAACGGAAATCTGGCAAACAAGGCACATCTTCGCCACCTCCACAGTCGTCCCAAGAATAAAGTGGTTGTCTCAACTACCTTGACCTTCCCCTTGCCTTTACGTGTCCTTTTCTGTGGACTTCTCTCTTTGGAGATTTTCTCCAGTGATCTCTCAGCATTTTTTTTTTTTAAGTTAAATGTATTTGACTTGTGTTCTCAGCATTTGGAGAGAGCAGCAGCAGCTTAAGTTGCTGCCTTCCTGCATCTTCTGACATCACTGCTGTCTGAGATCTGTATATGTGTAAATAGAAGTTCCTGGATACCCTAAAACCTTGGATTAAACAGAATGTGCATTGTACATCTTTAAACAAATGTATATTAATTTATTAAATCTAGTTGTCACTTTATTTTGGACCTGCTGTGATCTTGACAGGAAACGTGCCACAGAGCCACAGTGCAGAGGTGAGACTTCCTAATGGCGTCTCTGGAGCACAATGTCATGGTGTTCCTAGCAGTTCTTATTAAGTGAACTGTACATTCTGTCTGTCATGGCTGTTGAGACCTTACCAAGAACGTAAAGGAAACAGAAATCAGCAGTGGAGTATCTGTGGTAAGAAAACATGAACTTTGTGCTTCACTGTCAATCGTTTTTGGAAGTTATTTTGTATAACACCAAAGCTGTTGTACATTTTCTACTGCCTGATTTTTTTTCATGTGTCTTGTGTTTGTAATATTGTATAGTATCTTGTGCTAGTTGAAATTATTTTTAATTTTGATAATTTAATATTCCTAGTGATTAGCATTGGGAGTTGGGTTTTTGTGCTTGTTAGGGGCATGCCTATACTTAGAGGGGGAAAAAAGTCCAAAAGAAGATTTTCATTAGTCTCCTCATCCTCCTTTTCCCACACAGCTATCCTTTTTTCTATTTAGGCAGCAGTAGCCAGTAGTCATGCAAGATCATAAGTCTTACAGAATATTGTCACCAATGACACTGCTTCTTACTGGAGTTGGGACAGATTGAGGTGTTCCTTATATGTAGATATGGTGTGTGGTCTGAGATGGACAGCATTAGGAAAAACTGGTTAGAACATAGTCCTGCTAGGTAATGCATCATTGGGTAAGGATTAGGGAGTACATTTCTCCTAGTTTTCCATGAATAAATCCCAAAGTTTATAAAATTTTTTATTTACAGAATAAAACTATAAACAAAATAAAATGGATTTTATTTGTCCAGAAGGAATCTGGTTGAGTTGGCAGTTTAATAGAGGAGTGCAGAATGTATCTCAGTGGAAATGAGCTGTAAAATCTCAGAGAACTGAACATATAAACTTGGTTTTTCCCTTATAACCAAAGCTGCAAGTAGAAGTTTAGAGAAATAAAAGTTAGGCACATGATCCAAGTATTTAATGGTTATGGTTTAATGTAAGGGTAGTGTTTGGTTTTGAATGATAACCTAAAAGTTCTCAGAGAAAATGAACAGCATAGGTCTTCAGAAACCATATAAGAATTTCCATATAGTATTAAAGCCCATAACTCAAATCTGAAGATTTTTTAAAATATGAAAGCCACATAAACTACCAAAATAAAAAGCAAATGTTCTGGTTTTATAATTAAGCAATTTTCCCCAAAGTGGTAAGCAATTACTTAACTATGTTTTAAAACATATATAAAAAGCTTACCATAGGATTCAGTGTTATACTTTTTAGTACTTTGCAGTAGGCCTTTCTTTAGTATTCAAAATAAGGTATTTGTGAGCCCCGCCTTCACTTAGAAATTTAGTTCTACTGTAAAAAAATGAGCATTTTAAAACATATTGCCACCTGTCATGGTATATGTTCATACAAAAAGAAAAACTATCAAATTTGGCATATAACTTGATTATATTAATTTAAGTTTCTTTTGAAATTTTCAGAGAATTTGTAGATGTTGATATAAAGTCATTAGAACATATTTTTCTGTTTTACCAGGAAGATATAAGGCAGATACCGCAAAAGATTAAAAATAGTTATTCTACAACATTTTAAATAAATCTTATCAAATGTTTTGTTATATATATATATATATATAGCCAAAAAGTTGCCCTCTATTACACTTGCAATAACTTGTCTTCTGTAATGATTTTCCCCCAATTTTCCAGTTGTGCTTTTTTCTGTTTTCAAAAAGATGAATACTTTCCTAAGGAAAGCATCTGCTGGTTACTATTTACATGGATAGCATCTAGATTTTCTTAGCCAGTTGTCTTAAAAATATTTAACTAGTTCAGAAAGTGCTAGTATTGCTGCCCTTCATGTAGAATTTATTTTTAATAATAGTGTAGTTTTACTTCATTTTACATTGGGTTTAAACAGTCTTCAAGAAAGTTAATTAGGAGAGAGAACTTTTTTGCTTTACTTTTACTATTTTAGAAATTGAAGACAGATCAACATTTAGGATTACTTTTACATGACCAGTTTACCAAATGGCCATAGTATCAGGTGTGCAGTTGTTCATTATTAGCAAATTATGTTTGATTTTTAAACTTAATACTAAGTACTAAAAGTTGAGATGAAAACTGAAGAAAAATGCCAATGTGAAGTTTGTATGACAAGCTTTAAAAAAGCTAAATGTTTTTAGGTGTAGTTTTTTTGGAGAAACAGTAGAGATTAGACATCTCAATTCCAGATGTAAACAAAAGTAGTTTTTATTTCAACATTTAATATAACTGTTATTACTATGGATTCTTGCCTTGGTGTTTTTTCCCTTTTTCCTTATTCAAGTAATAGAAAGTAAATTTTTCTCAAATGATTTCATCTTAGATATGTAATATCTGCATTGGCAAAATGCTGTCATTAAAGTCTAATTTTTGAATTTAGGATGAATTAATGACTTTTTAAAACAATGCAAAGCAGCACTGGACATTTCTACATTGTATTGCGTTTACTTACACACACACACACACACACACACACACACACACACACACACACAATAGTGCCAGTATAGAACACTGGCACAATTGTTACAAGTTAGCTTCTTATTCTCATGTTCAGGATTATTTTAAACTTTCTATTTTCTGTGATGGATTTTTTTACATTATAAAATTATTGTTTAAAATACTCCTTTAGAATGGTATTTAATGAGTCACAATTAAAAAAAGACTAAAGTGAAATGCCTTACCACTAAAGTATTATTAAAGCCTCATTTGTGGAGATTCTCTGACTTGTTGGAGCTGTCTTGGATCTTTTTATTTAATTTGCTCCCTCAAGCAGATGTTTTCCCTTCACTCCATTTACTGCCCTATGTCTTTTTTTTTTTAAACAGCCGGGATGAGCAAGGGCTACTTTCAAATAAAACCATTAATACAGCATGAAAATAGACATTATATATCTTTTCATTTCTACCTGTCTTATGAGTGCCTCATTTTTTAGTCATGGAAGTAATATAGAAGCTTCAATGAATATGTAGTGACTATAAAGCCTGGGCATGACTACTATAGAAGCTAAGTAGAACACTTTGTTATTTGGGATACCAATTTTCTATTAAAGCAAACATCTTAGATACCCAGACCAATTTTATGTATATATTCTGAAATGTTCCCCTTTTTTATGTGGTCATTTGTTGTCTTCTGAGTTGAGAGAACAATATTGAATAAAGTGAACGTTAGTTGTAGTCGAGTATTTTTTTTTCCTTGTTGGTTTTTGCTTTATTGCAAGATTGCTTGAGAGTTACAGAAGTGTGTATTATTAGCATAAGTTGATAATCCAGATACATTTAACATAATTATGAAAGTAAAATAATTCAAATTACATGTCATGATAAGCCCCTCTGTTCTAAGTATTAATTTAAAATGATAGTGGCAAAGGACACGCCCCTCCTTTTCTCCCCCTCACTGTAATAGACTCTCTCCACCAGGAAGAGCAAAGAAAGGCCCTAATCTGTGCCACCCACCTCTTTGCCTCAGCTACAAGGTCTGAACAGAGCTGCACCAGGTTGCCGATTTTAGGTATCTGCTTGGCTAGAGTAAAACCAATCAAACCCATTTTATGTAATTGACCATAAGTCTCAGAGAAAAAGGAAAGGGTTCCATGAAGTTTTTTCCCTCCTCACTGTGCTGTATGAAGAGATCTTTCTAATTTTTGTTTCTAGGTTAAGTTTCTTTCCATGTTTTTTTTTTCCTTTTAATTAAATTTTTCCTTTTAATTAAATTTGCTGGAGCGACACTGGCTAACAAAATTATACAACTTTCAGGTGCACAATTCTGTACATAATCTGTACACTATTGTGTGTTCACTCCAAGTCAAGTCTCCGACCACTACTATTTATCCCCCCTATGATTTTTTAATCAAGTGGATTTTTTTTATGTAGTAGTGGTAAAATTGAATTTTAATTCTGTGAAGTTGATTTTTTACAGCAAAGGAAATTGCATGGTGAATCTAGAAGTGGCCATTAACCTCTCCCTCCCACCCTATAGTTTGCAGCCCTTCTTGATGCAAACATAGAACCCATACCACAAGTGGATTAGGGATCTGGGAAGGTAACCTCCGCTCCTAGCCCAGCCCCCACGAACACATGTATTTCTGGTGTCTGTTTTGTTTCCTTGCACTGTACTCAACACTATAGTTGAATGAGGCATTAGGACTGCCTTCAAGAAGTCCAGTTAGAGTGGAAAAGAACAGAAAAAGGAGCAAAAGATTCTATTAGAGATATGCATAAGATGCCACAAGGAACAGATAAAGGATCTACCTGGGTGGAGTCTGTGTTGGTATGCTCTTAGTTACTATTTGGTATGTACAGGCGCCCTTCCCCCACACTCTCACAATTCCTGTCAACCTCCTGCAGTTTACTTTCACTCAGTCCCACACTTCACTAAAACCATATGTCAAGAGCCAGTAACCTGGGTGGGGTCCCTTTTGGCACTTTATTTAATCATCTTGAAATTTTATTTTACATAGGTAACAGTGTTGTGTCTTTCTGCTGCTTGCTTGCTCGCTCAGTAACTTCTGTGGGACAAAAAGGTTTATGCCAAAAGCCCATTCATTCACTTCCTTGTTTTTTGCCCAAATGGATGAACCCCTTTTGCTAGCTGCACGAATCCATTGTTCTGATGGAACATAATAGAGTCAGTATAGAAATAAACCCATATGTATATGGACAGCTGATTTTTGTCAAAGGTACAAAAGTTGAACAAGCAGTGTTGGAATAATTAGACATCCAGATGCAAAATTAAAAATAGATCTTTATCTCAACATAAAGTTAACTCAAAATGAATTATAGCCCCAAGTATAAAACTCCAAACTATAATTTCTGGAAGAAAACAAAGGAAAAACGTTCAGCCTGGGGTTAATCACAGATTTTGATACAACCCCAAAAGCACAACCCATAAAAGAAAAATTAGATGACTTTGGACTTGATCAAAATGGAAAATACCTGCCCTTTGAAGTATACTGTTTAGAGAACAAAATGACAAGTCATATCGTGGCAGAAAAAAATTGCCAAACATTTCTGATAAAGTACATGCATTCAGCCCTAGCTGGTTTTGCTCAGTGGACAGAGTTTATGCCTGTGGACTGAAGGGTCCCAGGTTTGATTCCCGTCAAGAGGATGTACCTTGGTTGCGTGCGCGCGCCCCCCACCCCCCCCCCCATGTAGGGGTGTGCAGGAGGCAGCTGGTCAGTGTTTCTCATCCAATGTTTCTATCCCTCTCCCTCTCTGTAAAAAAATCAAAATATATTTTTAAAAAGTTTACATGCATTCAGATGTTTCAAAAAACCTTGATTTAAAAATGGGCAAATATTTAAAAAAACTAAAGTGGTATACAGATGGCAAATAAACACGTGCAAACCTGTTCAATATCATTAGTCGTTGGGAAAATGCACATTAAAAACAAAATGTGATCCCACCACATCTATTAGAAAGGCTAAAATTAAAAATACTGATAGTACCATGGGTTGGTGAGGATGTAGAGAAACTGGGACTCTCATGCTCTGCTAGAGGGAAAGTAAAAAATGGTGCAACTACTTGGGAAAAGAGGTGTTTCTTAAAAGGTTAAAATATGTACTCACCACTCCTAATTATTTGCCGAGAAAAGAAAGTAAATCCATATGAAGAATTGCACATGAGTGTTTATAGTACTTTTATTTATTTGTAATAGCCCATAACTGGAAACAATCCATATGCCCATCAACAAGTGAATGGGTAAATTATCATCAATACAATGAATGAAAAGCAGTTAACTATTGATATACACAACATGTACAAATCTCAATACGTTAAGTGACAGTAGACTGAAAATGTATGCTTTTGTTTATATAAAAGACTAGAAAATCCAAAGAAACCTATCTATAGAAAGTAGATCAGTGAAGAGGGAAGGATTTTAAAGGGGCATGAAGAAATGGGGTGATTTACTATCTGGAGGGGGTCTGGTCGCGACACATCTACCTACATATGTCAAAACGTGTCAAATTGCACACTTCAAATTTGTGCAGTTTATTTAAAAAAGTAATATGTTAATACTGGATCTCTAGTGGACCACTTCATACCTTATTAACCTCCTATCAAGCTTACCTATTGATACTTGTATGTTTTCCTTCACATGGATATAAGCTCCATAGATTTTGAAAAACAACTATTTGGGGATTACTATTGTGTTCCAGAACAGTCCTTGGGACGTATTTAGCAATCAGTATTGTTGAGGAAATATATGTCAGAGTCAAAATAATGTAATATGGTTAAAATGAAACGTGGAAGCCCCGTGCCGTTCTCCAGCGGTAACCACGGCAGCCTACTCCAGACCCCTCTGTCACAGCGCAGGGGACATGCTCCACAGCCTGCTCTACCGGGTGCTGCTTGCTTCCACTTTATATTTCACAAACACCTTATGTCGGCCACCCCATGTGAAAATTCTGACTGTTGTATTCTATCCTGTGGGTAAGACGACGGTTTAACTTTTCTGAACTAGTTACCCCATTTTATTATATGCTGTAGTAAACATTTTTGTCCATATTACTTTATATACTTCGGCTAGAATTTCTGTAGGATAAATTTTCTCTTAAGATTGCTAAATCATCAACACCTTAAAAGTACCAAATTGCCCCCCACAGTGTGCTAATTAACTCTCTTTCATCCGTGTATGAGATTCCTTGATTTCCCATATCGTCATCAACGTCAGTGATTATTTTCAGTTTTTGCTAATGCTGTTCATTTGAAAACGTGTGTAGAGGTAGGGAAAGAGAGAGAAGGGGCCTGGGCCTGGCCCCACCTGGACACAGCTCACTCCAGTTCTCCGTCGTCCTCTCTAGAGGTGAGCGTCCCTGAGTGGCCGTGGGTCCCTGGCTTCTTTCATTCAGCATGGGTGCTGGGGGCCGCTGCAGCCGCCAGCCAGGATCCCCCTAACCCAGGGCCCATCCCTGGCCTGCTGCCCCGGCCAGCACCCCCCAGAGGGGACGTTTCCCCTCCCCTTCCGCCTAAAGCTGTTGTATCAGAAGCGGCTCATTTCCTCTTACACTCAGATACACCTTCATTAAAAAAACAAGATAGATAGAAACTCCCCTTGTCTCCATTCTAAGTAGCTTTTACACTGGCATCTGAGGAGCGCGTTCACCGAGGGGAACCGCTTGGATGTGCCAGGAAGTTGATGGGGGCGGGGGCCAGATTCCTGCAGGGAAGCTCGTGCGGGCTGCACCGACCGACCGGCCCTCACGACCTGAGCCGTTTCCATCGTGGGAGGCCCCCAGTGACCCCGGCCCTAACCTGCACGTGGCCAGCGCAAGGGCCAGGGGCAGGGGCCGTGGGAATTCGCCTTTCACGGTGGGCAGTGGGAGAGCGATGCAAAGGTCCTTCCCTAAGCGAGCGGGGCAGCTCCCTCTAACCCAGGTGAGTGGGTAGAGGGCCGGGGGCCAATCAGGTTGCGCACGCGCACTGCCTCCCGGACGCGCTCTGGGGACTCCCCACCCTCGGCTCGCGGCGTGTGCGCGTGCGCGACGCAAGGGGGCGGGCTCCTCTCTCTCTCGCGCGCGCGCGCGCGCGTCCCGGTTGCCTGGATACCATCGCGCAACAATAGCAGCGGTTAGCGCTTCCGAGCAGCCGTGCGCAGGCCGCTAGAGGGGGCGGTTGGTCCTCACTTTCTGAGGAGGCTGAACCAGAGCGGGTAGGAGCTGCCGCGGGCCGCCCGAACCCCCGGGAAAACCAACTCTGGGGCCGATCCCAAACCCGGACCCGGCCCAGACCCGGCAGCTGGACCTCGGCCCCGCCCCCGGCCCCGTCCCAAACCTGGGGTGGCGGGTGGGATGGGCATCCCTAGGCTGACCCTCCGCCCTTATCCCCCCGCAGCACACCTAGACCCCCTAGTCTTTGGAGAGCGATGCCGCTGCCCGACACCTTGTTCTGCGCGCAGCAGATCCACATCCCGCCCGAGCTGCCCGACATCCTGAAGCAGTTCACCAAGGCGGCCATCCGCACCCAGCCCGCCGACGTGCTGCAGTGGGCCGCGGGGTAAGCGAAGTCTCTGTCTAGGAAGCACCGTGGCTTACGGACCGTGGGACCAGAAGTCGCTGCAAAAGCGCTCACTTATCTACAAAAAAGTAGCAATAACTCCATTGCTGGAGAGTGGTATTTAAGCAGACAGGCCAAAACTTAGAAAGCAAGTGCGTGGGGTGTAAAGTTTCTGCATCGCGTTCTAAAACTATAACCACAGTCCCTTTATTTTATTGGCAAGGTGCTTTCTACGATGAGAAATGGTATGGCTGAGTTCCTCCTTCCTAGGGAATCCCGCCAGGGTCAGGGACTGGCGGACCCAGAACCGCGGGCCCAAGGCCGGAAGGCTAAGCTCTGCCCAGCGGGGGTCACAGCAAAGCGCTTTCCTTGTGGCAAATGTTCTATTTCCTGGACAGACATTCCTAATTTTAAAGTTACAAGTCACCAGACCTTAGAACCATTAAAATAAACCCTTTTGATTTTACAGGAAAGCTCTTTGCCCTTTTCCCAGTAAACAGACATAGAAGCTTAAATTTTATGGCCACAGAAATCAGTATAAATATAACTAAAATGTTTTAGCAAATAACGTATCGAGTTTTGCTGCCCTCTAAACTACATAACCAGTGAATTCGTTTCCTATGAACTGCTGTACAAAATCCCATGAAATGTGATGGATTTATACAACAGACATTTTTATTCTCTTACGGTTCTAGTGGCCTGCAAGGCTCTGCTCTGTCTGGAGGTGCAAGGGGGAATCCATCTGTTTGCTTGACTTTTCCAGCTTCTAAAGCTTCATTCCTTGTACTCCTCCCCTTCCTTCCTTTTAAAGCCGGTAGTGTGACAGCTTCAAGTCTCCATCTCCCTCGTCTGAGGACACTTGTGATTGCATATAGGACCCATCCAGATAATACAGAATAATTCCCCATCTCAACATCATAGGCAAAGTCCCTATTACCAAGCAGAATCAGACACATAGTTAGTTCCAGGACTAGGGCCTAGATATCTCACCGGCCCTTTCACACGAGGCTGCTAACTACTTGTTAATTGGGGCTTTGTCTCTGACACTTTGGTCAATTGCTTCTGAAGTAACCTTTCAAGATTCTTAAAAAACAAAAATTATGGCCTCTAGTTTTAACCATTATTCAAGCCTAAATAAAAGATAGTAAAATAAAAAAAAAAAGATAGTCAGGACTTGTAAGATTTATTTGTGACTTAATCATTTTTATTTGGGCCATTAAATTAGATTATTTGGTAACACTTTAGAGACAACTATTTTAAGCCCCACTTTAAAAGGCTAAGCTGAGAACTTTCTGAATGTTCTATGCGACTCATTTCAAAGAACAATTTCGGAGCATAGGAGAAAAAAAATCAAGCATTACTCATTGAGCAGTGTGTGTGTGATTGGACTCGGATGTTCCGGCTGTTCCAGAACACACTGTTAGGACGTTGTTCAGAAGGAGGTGAGTTGGCCTTGGAGAGATTTCATAGGCAGAGATTGGCGTCAAGACAAGGTGGAGGGTATACAGGAGGTGGACACAGCATCTGAACAAAGGGGCTGTGCCAGGAAGAAGAAAATACAAAATAAAAGCAGAGCAGAAAACCAGGGTGCATTTGGGAGTAACTGCTGTGGGAGACGCAAGTAGACTTTCAGGTTAGCGTTCTTTTCAAAGGAGGGGATTTTCCAGTGGCAAAGGTGGGGCAGCCCTGCCCCCCAGCCTGGGCACTCTGCTGTGATGTCACAGCTAGTCAGCTGTGCCTTATGATGTCATTGAACAGTCGTGCACCCCGCAGCATGACGGAGGACAGAGTTGGTTTAGACCTGGGAGGCTGCTTTTGCTCACAGGAGTGAGTTTTGCCTCCAGGGAACTAGCAGAGTCTAACACAAGCCGGGCTTGTCACTTGTTTGACACTTTGGAGGGGACAACTTTTGGGTGGTGTACGAGGTGGTGGGGTGTATGATCCTTAGCTGAATCCTGGTCTGCACCCACTAGATGGCAGTAACACCATCTCCCTCCTGTGGTGACAACCAAAATATCTCTGGAAATTGCTAGTGCCTTCTTGGGAAGGGGTAGGACACTCATGGCCCCTGTTGAGATATTCCACCGGCTTTATCAGGCAGGAGGGTGGGTTTGATAGGTTATGAAGAATAAAGTCCATGAAGTGGAAACCATAATTAGGAGCAATATGGCGAATCTACGCACCCACCCTTCAGCCTGGCACTTCGGTCTTAAGGTCCACATTGATCTCACTGCTGCCTTTGTTTTGACTCTTTTTTTTTTTAAAAAAATATATTTTTGATTTTTTTACAGAGAGGAAGAGAGAGAGAGATAGAGAGTTAGAACATTGATGAGAGAGAAACATAGACCAGCTGCCTCTTGCACATCCCCCCACTGGGATGCGCCCGCCACCAAGGTACATGCCTTGACCGGGGAATCGAACCCCGGACCCTTCAGTCCGCAGGCCAACGCTCTAACCACTGAGCCAAACTGGTTTTGGCCGTTTTGACTCTTATTAAATAAAATATGTCTCGAGTTGTCTTAAAAGCATGAAAGCAGAGTAGAATTTGAGGGTGAAGAAAAGGGATGATTTATAAAATTTGTTTTAGTCCAAATTTAGATATCCTTCTACATTTTGTTACATATTCAGTTGTTTCCAGTGATTCATATCTTTTAACTTACAACCTGTGGCCCTGGTGGATGGTCTAGAGTTCCTTTCCCTAGACATGCTGTTCCTTTTCATGGTGTTAGTTGTTAGAGCTGCAGTGACAGGGCTCAGCAGCTGGCCCCCTCTGGCGTGCTGGCCCAGAGGGGAGTGAGTTTTGCCTGGTACCCCTCACATCGGCCAGAGGCTGGGTGTGTGCCCTCTCTTGACTTGTTGCCCCAAAACATTTCTGTGTCCCTACTTGCCCCCACCATAAGCAACAATGTTGGGAGCCCAGAAAGGAACAATTAAAGGGGAAAAATACTAAAAAATAAAACAAACAAAAACAAACCCAGGCGGGATCAGGGAAGTGTGAGGGAGGGTGGTCTCTGACGTGGCAGAGTGGGCGCAACCCACCCTCAGTGCAGCCAACAGAAGGCCCCTGATCTGGGTGCCTTGGGGTTGAATAGGCAGAGATGGATGCTCTGGAACCTCAGGAAAAAGAGCAGGGCCCGGAAAAGGGAATGCCACGCCTCAGCTGTTGAAGGGGAACGCTGGGCCATGACACTGCCCTTGGGTGCTGTGGCCTGCTTCCTCCAGTGCCTCTGGCCACATTTCAGTTGTGTCTGCTCAGTACTCCCTGGAGCCTGAGACGGGCTGTCCTTATCCCGGCTTTACAGACAGAGTCACTGAGGCAGCCGAGAGGGTAAGTAAGAGAGCCGAGTGGAGGAACCCGGTGGATCTGCCCTTCAGACTCCAGAGCTCTCCTCCCCGATCACTGTTGGGCTTAGGGCTCCTTTAAGAAAGCGCACTCATGAGTGTTAACTTGCCTTTTGTGTATTGATGCGTCTTCAGAGATGTCTGTTGTTGTTGTTAGGTATTTCTCCGCTTTGTCAAAAGGAGATCCACTTCCTGTAAAGGAGAGAATTGAAATGCCCGTGGCCACTCAGAAAACAGACACTGGCCTGACTCAAGGAATGCTCAAAGTGCTGCACAAGCAGGTATAAGGGCCATGCCACCAGCCAGCCTGCCCGCGGGAAAGGGGCGCCCCGCGGCCTGACACAAACGCCACCAACATCTCGCAAGTCGCTTCCCCTGCAATAAACCTTTGAATTTCATTCAAAAAGGAACTTGTTGTATTCAGTGCCTTTCTTTAGTTGGAAGAACCCACGGTAGCTATTCATGATTAGATTGTAGAAAAGTGAAATGTAAATATCAAATTAAGATGCTTAGGTGCTGCTGGACTTAAAAAAAAAGGGGGGGGCTAACAATATGAAAGTGGGACATTTTAGACCTGAGAATGGCAGGTGCTAGTTTGAAGCGTGCTGATGAGGCTGTGTGCACGCTGCGGTGGTCATCAGAGGACGGTGGCCCTGAGGCTGGTTTCCAACCCTCCGGGCAGCCTGGGCCTGGCCCTACCCTGGCCCTTGGCGAGTCTTCTCCACCCACTGGCTCGCTTTTAGGAAAACGAGTTGGTAGGAAGTATACCACCCAGCTTTGAGGCTGGGCATTCAGATGATTGGGTCATATCACTAAAAACGATTTTGATTTTTTTTTTTTTAAAGTGACAGGCCCCTATTGTACATATATTTTCTTTTTTCAATTACAGTTGACATACGCTATAAAGCTAGTTTCAGGTATACAACATAGAGCCCGTTATTCATTTTGAAGTACTGGGCTTTTGGATCGGGTACACTGACTTTGAGACCAGATTCTCCATGGCTCTCTACTAAAAGGGAACACGAATAACCATGAAAGAGGGCAGCTCAGGGCAGGACCTGCTGATATTGCTGAAAGTCCTCACACAGATTAGGATGAGCAGGTCACAGAAAGTGCCCATTTTCATTGATTGTTTGAAATAGTAGAAGCAATAAAATTAGTTTTAAGATTTCTCCCATGTAACTATTAATGTGTATGGGGTGGGATTTTAAGTGTTTTTACTTATTGAAATTAGTTTTTGATTGCCAAGTATTACAGTCAGGTAATAGAGAATGCCATCCCTAGCATCAGCATGCCCCTCCCCTCCTTTAAAAAAATATATTTTATTGATTTTTTACAGAGAGGAAGGGAGAGGCAGATAGAGAGCGCTAGAAACATCATTGATCAGCTGTCTCCCACACACCCCCTACTGGGGATGTGCCCGCAACCAAGGTACATGCCCTTGACGGGAATCGAACCTGGGACCCTTCGGTCCGCAGGCCGATGCTTCATTCACTGAGCCAAACCGGCTAGGGCCCAGCATGTCCTTTTTATTAAGTTATAGCACTATGCCATGTTTGCTTCGCGGCCCTTATTTAAGAAGTAAATTGCTGTGACCATTGTTCTCAAGCTCAGTGGCCCCCCCAAACCCCCTGCCCTGCACGTTGACCCTCCCACCATACATGTCCCCCTCCCTCCACAGGGCTAACTGGGCCATGAAGTCAGCCCACCTGTTCCTGCATGGAGTACGTGATGAATGTTCAAGTGCTCACAGCACTAGAGGATTCTGTGGGTGTTTAAACTTACGTAAATTGTAACTTATTGTGTCTTCTAAACAGTGTGGCCACAAGCAATACGTGGACTTACTGGACATCGAAAAGAAATGGAGAAGTTTGTGCCTGCCGATGGAGAAGCTCAGAGCGCTCATAGAATTGGACCCTTGTGATCACAAAATCGAGTGGATCAAGTTCTTAGCACTTGGATGTAGCATGCTTGGTGGGGTACGTACCTAGAAATGGCACTTTGATAATTAAGTGTAATCATAGGCTTGGCTGAAAAATAACTTAGGGGTTTCAGTCACTGAAGGAAACACATTATTTCAGTAACTTTGTCTCAGAAAAGCAGTATTTTTCAGATACCTGTTATATTTTCAGGCTTCTAGTTATTTTAATGTACAGAAATGAAATATTTGTGAACACCTCAATTTAAAAGATACAAAGGAAGATAAGATATATGGATACCGTTAGAATGTATTGAGGTTTTATTAAACCACTCATCATTTGGTAAATGGATAATACCTGTTTTCCTAATCTGTGGAGAGAGGCACAGAATAATAATTATTATTTTTTAAAATATATTTTATTGATTTTTTACAGAGAGGAAGAGAGAGGGATAGAGAGTTAGAAACACTGATGAGAGAGAATCATCGATCAGCTGCCTCTTGCACACCTCCTACTGGAGATGTGCCCGAAACCAAGGTATATGCCCCTGACCAAAATCGAACCTGGGACCTTTCAGTCCGCAGACCAATGCTCTATCCACTGAGCCAAACCGATTTCGGCGAGGCACAGAATTATTTTATACTTTAGTTAAAATCTATTATGAGTAACTAACAAACACAGTACAGCTGTGCTAATGGGAAAATATAACCCAAGCGCTTAGGAGTGAAGACAGAGGATCCTGCTGTTTCAGAGGTGAGAGGGCTCCCCAGCCCAGGAGAGGGGTGCGATGGCGGGGAGGAGCTCCCTGGCGCCTGCCTGGCTCTGCTGACAGTCTCCTGAGTTGAAGGTTTCCACAAAGACTAGAACCATCCCTCCCTCCCCTCCCGGTGCGTATGGGGCACCGCCTGTACCGCCCTGCTCTGGGTGCTGAGTGGCGCCCCTGGTCCTGGGAGCCTCGGGACCGGAGCTCTGCCTGTGTGGGAAGCTGCAGGGGAGTGGGGTGAGGGTGGGGTTGCGGGCCTCTGGTGCCCTCCAGGTCGGTCGGGTGTGGGAGTGGTTCTTGTCCCATTCCCCAGTGCCCATGTGCGCCTGGTGACATGATCGCATGCGCATGGCGGACCTGTGCCTTTATATTTCTGCAGCGCCCTCGGTGGTCTGTGTCGCCCTCATGGGCTTTCTCCGTCAGTGTGCAGGGAATGGGAGACCTGGTTCATAACTTTCTGATGCTCAGAAAGTAATCCCCATGCTTAAAAACCAAAACCAAAGCGTTTGATCCACACTTGAGTGGCTTCCGTCCCCAGTGCCTTCCACCCAGGCTTCCCCGCTGGCCTCACAGCCGAGGGGAGATGGCCAAGAGGAACCCCAGCGGCCACAAGATGAGCTCCGAGGGGCGGCGGCGGTGCCCAGCGGGGCTGCTCTGGGTCCCTGCCCAGCCACAGCATCACTGCCTCACCATGGGTCCGAGTGTCTGTCTCTGTGTGTGTGTGTGTGTCGGGGGGGGGGGGGGGGAGGACAGGTGAGATGGGCTTTCCACTGCGGGAAGGACGCACAGGGCGGAGGCTGGGCCCCGTGGCCTCTCTGAGGGAAGCATCAGGCCTCAACAGGAGCTTCCCTCGGAACCGGGGGCCGTCTTCCTGGAGAAGGTGGCCTCTCACCCTCACCAGCCACAAGCCCCAGCCCCGCCTTTTAAATGAGAAATGTAGGGGATGGGCTGGCACCGCTGTCTGACACTGAACTGTCTGACACTGAGCAGTCAGGCCTCCAGGGAGCAAGCGCTGCCCTGTCCTGACTCCGCCTGAAGGGGGCGGTCAGCCTGCCCTCACTGGTATGGCCATGCTCTCTGAAAGGCCTGTGGGGTGTGAGGGAGGGGGTGGGGTGTGCCCTCACCATAGCAGCTAAGATTCTGAAGTTGAAGAATTCCACGGAACTGGCACCTGGGAGACGCTCAGGAAGGATGGGTGCCTCACACGCCTGCATTTGCATTTCAGATGACGGCTCAGCTGAGCCCTCGGCTACACACCAAGTGAGGGTGCCAGGCTCCCTCGGGGAAGGCTTAGGTACCTGAGGGAACCACAGTGGCAGGGGGCTGGAGGGGGCCGCCTGCCAGCATGGGGAGTGGGGAGTCTGACACCTCCCCCCTTAGGAGGTGAGAGATCTGTTTTTAAGAAAACTCAGTGCAAAACCATGCAAGTTGCTTTATGAATCCTTTCCTGCAAGTCGTACCGTCAGAAGTGTTAGCAGCAGTGCTGTCCTCACACCTTTGCCGAAGGCAGCGATGCTGGAGTGCTTGGATGTGTTTTTTCCTTAAACACCTCCCTTCACCCGTCACAGACTGCATCTGCCCGCTCCCCGCTGGCTCCCCGCTCGGCGGCGGCTCTCCTTCCACTTGTGCCGGATATAAAAGGAACGCCAGTGTAGCACCATGTCTTTGCAGAGTTTCAAGCAAGAAACACGGACTGAGAAGCACACAGCTTAGGTCTGCCAGGTGCTCTCAGAGGAGCAGAGACAGTGACCCTCTGATGCTGCACGGTCACACCGCCCCCGCCAGCACTCTGCGGGCCACGTGGGGGCTGGCTTCCCGGACGCCCCGGACGCCTGGTCCAGCTGCCAGCCCCGGAGCCCGCATGCCCGGCCTCCCTGCAGCCCAGAGCCCGCAATGCCGGACGTGGCCGGTGTCTGCTCCTGCCCAGCCAGCCGGGGCCGGTGCGGTGCCGGTGCCAGTGCCAGTGCCGGCGCGGGAGCGTGCTGGGCAGCATGCCCGCGGCTGGCCTGGCTGCTCCCCGTGGCCACTGCCTCATCCCACCGGGATGGCGGGAGGAAAGGAGCCGTGTCCGGCTCAGGAGGAGCGGTCTGTGCAAGGCGCTTGCTCTGTCCCGCTGCCTTCCTCTCCCCCGCCAGAAGCACAGGTGGTTTTTCTTGAATGTTCACTGTGAGGACCGGGCCGAGCTGCCGGGGCCGTGGAGGAACAGGCTGCCCTGGGTGAGAGGGCCAGTGTCCGAGAGGGAGGCCACCAGTCTCACAGCAGCAAGGAGAGAGTCTGCCTGCAGCCTGGAGCCTGTCACGAAGGAGCAGCTAAGCTCTGCGCTCCTGACCCACAGAAACTGCTAGATAATGTGTGTTGTTAAAAAAAACCAAAAAACAAAAACAAAAAAACAGGCACAAAACAGATTAAAAAACAAACAAACAAAAAACAACCCTGGCTCTGCCCTTTGCATCCCTGAGGATGTCAGTGCTGTCCCCACAGGGTCACTTTGAGGTGAAGCAGGACCATGGCTTCCCCTCCACCTGCAGCTCCCCCAGACTGCCCTCTGTGCCCGCCCCACTGGGGGTTTGCTTTTATTTAATTTATATTTTATTGATTAAAAAAAATTTTTTTTTACAGAGAGGAGGGGAGAGGGATAGAGAATTAGAAACATCGATGAGAGAGAAACATCGATCAGCTGCCTCCTGCATACCTCCTATTGGGGATGTGCCCGCAGCCAGGGTACATGCCCTTGACCGGAATGGAACCCGGGACCTTTCAGTCCACAGGCCGAGGCTCTATCCACTGGGCCAAACCGGTTAGGGCATCCCTGAGGGGTTTTTTTTGCTCTTTTCTCCTGAGTGCAGCCCAGATTGTTCCATCAGGAGCTTCCCTGGGAGGAAGGCCCTGATGGGCAGTGTTTGCCCATGACTGCGCTGTAACTGCCCACCGCCCCTCATTTCAGCCTCCCAACAGGACGCTGTCCCACACATTCCTGGCCAGGAGCCGCTCCGAACCCGCTGCACACAGGCCTTGGGGTGTGCCCGCCCACGGTGCTCTTGTGGGGTCACCAGGGGTCCGACAGCACGAAGCCAGCCCTCAGACGATGGCTCCCCCTCCCTGAGTGCAGCTCCCTGCCCTCGGCTGGAGCGGCTTGAAGGGGAGAGTGGGACAGGTCAGGGCGCTGGGAGCTCAGTGGTGGGGGGAAGGCTTCCCAGAAGATGGGCCTTTGGGCTGGACGTGGAGGATGTGGGCCAGGGCGGGGGGATGGGAGGGCCGTGACTGACACAGGCAGAGGGAGAGCGTGAGCGGGAGGAAGGCAGGTGCTTTCCAGGACCGAGACGAGGCCCGGAGCCCAGCGGGCAGGGGCATCAGCTGGACCCTGCCCGCCCCTGCACAGGGGCGCCTCCAGGTGGTAACAGTTTGATTCGTCCGGTCTGAGGAGGGGCCAGAGGGCTGGCGGGGGGGGGGGGGGGGGGGTTCTGCGTTGGCTTAGGGGGTGTGTCTTTAAGGAGACTGATGCCTCCTCCTCTTTAAAAGTCATTCCCATTTTAATACAAAATCTGTGAATTAAAACTTTTTTCAAACCAGTTGCATCCTGACAAGATCTTTCCTTTTTATTTCCTTATGTCACGTACACATTCACCTAGTTCTTAATTCAGATAAGAACATTGTGTACTTTCAGGAGGGTTTCTGTGAAATGTAATTGAGTGTCTATTCCAGTTTTAGCAAATGCAAGCAGTAATTCTCCCCCTCCCCCCCATCCGCAGTCCCTGAACACTGTGATGAAGAACCTGTGCGAGATCCTGACCCAGGACCCCGAAGGGGGGCCCGCGCGCATCCCCTTCAAGACCTTCTCCTACGTCTACCGCTACCTGTCCCGCCTGGACGGGGACACTCCCGCCTCGGAGACGGAGGCCTATCTCGCCTCGCTGAAGGACAACATGTGAGTGCGGGCGGTCCCTGGCCGGCCTGGTGGTCCCCGGAGATCTTCCTCCTGCCCTGCTGATCTCGGATTCCTGTCCCTCTTCTCCCGTGGGGACGGAGGGGAGGCTGCGGGGAGGCTGCCGCAGGAGGCGCTGGGAGGAGGGGGCTCAGTTCTCCAGACTTCAGAGGGAGAAAATGTATCCCGCCTCTCAGAATGTTTATCCACACTTACCCTGATTCTTAAGGGCAGGGTGTCCTGTGATTTAAAATCGTAGCATGTCACACAGACTGTGCAGAGGGCGAGCAGCCTGGGGGCAGGGGCAGGTGGGGGCAGCCTCCCCAGGGGCCATGGCCCCACAGAGGGGCTCCCTGAGGGTGGTGACATTGCCCCTCAGGAACTTAAGCCCAGGAAGCCTGGCGATTCTAGGGGAAGGGGCTCTAGGGGAGGCGGGATGGAGCCTGACTCCCACAGGGTTTAGGAAAGAGTGAGAGAGAGAGAAAGAGAGACTGTGATCCAAGGCCTTCAGCACCTCCTGGGCCACCCCCTAAATGCCTGGGAGGTGTCCCCAAGCCTCACACTGCTGCCATCTGGACCTTTGCCCTAGCACATGCTCATGGAGCGCCTGCTCTGCCAAGGATGTGGCTTTTGGAAGTTGCAGTCCTGGGTGCTCCACACGCACAGATACCCGGCCAGCGGGCGGGCTGGAGGGCCACGGGGTTGGGAGAGCCGGAGGAGGGGGCCTGACCAGGAGGATATGTTCCTCTGGCGCTGAGAAGCCCTCCTGGCTGCCCATCATCACTGCCCAGATGGACGCTCCTGCCTCCCCAGCCTCCCTCAGCTGGGACCCCAGCGTGGGCCCCATACCTCCCTCCCTACTGCCAGCCCTGGCTGCCGCACAGCGCTCACTCCTGTCCATTCCGAGCTGTGTTCTCTGCTCCCTCTTAAAATCGCATCCCCTCCCAGGCCCCTGCCACTGGACTCTGCCTCCAGACGCCACAGTCCACTGTCTTTCCTCTAGGCCAGTGGTCGGCAAACTCATCAGTCAACAGAGCCAAATATCAACAGTACAACGATTGAAATTTCTTTGGAGAACCAAATTTTTTAAGCTTCTTCTAATTCCACTTCTTCAAAATAGACTTGCCCAGGCTGTGGTATTTTGTGGGAGAGCCACACTCAAGGGGCCAGAGAGCCGCATGTGGCTCTCGAGCCGCGGGTTGCCGACCACAGGGTTAGCCTGTCACCCACCAGCTTTGTGGCCCTCCCTGTAGCTCCCCGGTTACTCTCTTCTCTCCCCACACTCCCCACCCCGCCAGGCCCCTGGTGGCCCCACACAGGCCTTTTTAAATAGAAGGGCACTTCTGTTACTAGAGACTAAGATTTGTGTTGTCAATAAAGAAAGTTCATTAAATATACTACTGATTTTTTCCACCTAAAAATAAATGCCCATTTTTGTACAAAAAAAAAAAAAATAGAATGCTTTAATTTTCCAGTAGAAATTACTGATTATTGACCATAAATAATTAATTTTTAAGGTAAAACTGTTAGATTATATTGCATTTAAATTACAGGTTGAGTAAATTATACTAAATCATGTTGTTTTATAAAATTTGTATTGTGTGTGGTGAGAAATTACTAATAAGTGTGTCTCTGTTTCCTTTTAGAGACAGTAGAAAGAGTGGCATGATTGGACTCATGGATTTCTTTGTCCTAGCGAGGAAAATGTAAGAAATCTCAAATAGAAAACTCAGAAGACATGCCATTAATACAGAGAAAAACACACTTTAATGTCAAAAGAGTGTGTTTTAAAACCTTGGCACCAATTACAACTTGTCATTAACCACATGCAGACGTTGCGTGAGTTTTTCTGGTGATGGAAGTGGAGTGTGACCAGTGAGTCTAGGGTGGGGTGGGGTGGAGCTATTTAATGATTGCTCTTCCCTGTGTCCTTGTAAGAACCTTCGATCGTTCCTGGTAGTAAATGATCTGTTTGACTGGAACAGTCTGTGGGAAGCTGCGGAGCAGGGAGGAGGATGGACGGGCATCTTAAAACCGGCGGTTCTGCTTTTCCATGGGAAACGCTTCATTCCTGGCTGCTGGGCCCACGCCAGGCAGGAGAGGTCTCCGGCCAGAGCTGGTCTCCTCCGGGAGAGACGGGCCTGGGAGCCTGCGCTCGCTGAAGGGCATCCATGGCCGCGAAGCAAACTGGACAAGCCATGTGGACCCGCACTGGTCCACTGAACAGGAACACGGGGCAGGGAAATAACACGAGAGCTGGGGAATGGTCTGGCTCCTTGGATCTGTGCCATCGGCCACCATGCTAATCAAGGTCAGCAAAGTGAAAACTCAGGGTCAGGCGAAAGGGTTTGCTGTTACCTAAAGGTGGGTAGTGTTGTTATTTTTTGCACTTAAGTGTGTAAAGTGTATTTTTCATCTGGATAAATAAACCCCCTTATTTGAGATGATCACTTGCCTGGACTTTTGGTTACCATCCCAGGAAACAAACAACATATAAAGATCACTCAGAAATGTACAAGTAACTTTTGGAGTTTCTAAAAGCATTTGCAATTTTGAAGTTGCTTTAAACCTTCTAAAATCTTGACTGCCCCAAAGAATTTAAACATTTCCCCCTGCTGTAATGCCTCCAAACCCCCTGGAGCGCACACATGACGTGGAGCACACAGGACGTCTGCGTTCTATGAAGATGCTCTGGCCTATCAGGAGACAGAAAAGGGCGAGTTTAATAGGGAATGATCAGCGTCCCCTCAGGTGGGGCAGTAAGAACCTCCCAATCCCAAGGCTGGACCTGGACTTTACAGGCAGAGAGGTCCTGGAGCCCTCGAGGTCTGCGGGGCTCCCCAGGTGAACAAAAGTGAAACCAGAAGCCGAAAGGGATGTGAGCTGTGCCCCCACCCCCCACCCCTTGCGTGTCTCTCCAGGAATTGTGAGTATAGAACCACAGAGAAGCTTGTTTGAACATAAAGTCCTCGGAGAATATGTCCCCACCAGCCCTTCCTTCCTCGAGAGTCTGCTGGAGGAAGAGAGCCAGGCAGCCAGAAAGGCTGCAGAGGGCACCATGAGACCACGGAGCACTGAGTATTGTTTAATCTGTGCAGGTACAACCAGGTGATGGGTATAAGGAAGGGGTAGGCTATCGTAAACAATGGATGTATGCGCTGACCGGTAGGCACACATGGCGTCTGTCAGAAATTTGGAGGCTGCAAAGTCCATATGAATGTTAAAATGATGTTCACATCAGATGTAGGGGAAATTTCATTACTGATCATAGTAGAGAACCAGCATTCAGTAGCCAAAAAAGAAAAGACTAAGGATATTATATAAAGGTACATGAGGTAACAGCAAAAATATAAATCTTCCTAAGTACCTAAATGTAAGCAGGGAGGTAGAACAGCAGAGGCTAAACCATGAAATAAGTATGTGATCGTGTAGGAGGAGGGAGGTGTGGGATGAAGGAGGTGGAGCTTGACGCTGGCCCTCTCTGAACTTACCTTTGTGGCGACTTGATTTTGGAATCCTGTAAAATTTTTACATAATTATAAAACATAATCATATTTAAAAGAAATCACTGAAAATTGGCCATAAAATGAAACCAGTGAACTTAGAATGAAATGAAAGTTAACACTCTCACATTTCTTTTAATAGTAAGTATTGGTGGTACTAGAATAAATTAGTAACAGTTTTGGCATGGAATTATGAAGATACAAAGTAAATTAGATAAGGTTAAGTCAAAATCCTGAGGTTCTGACTTATGAGTATCTGTATGAAATCATAGTCTCTGTCCACCGAAAAGGGCCAGCAGCAGCCACCCATCCACCATGTAGGGCCACACCTACTACCCTGTTTCCCCGAAAATAAGACGGTGTCTTATATTAATGTTTGCTCCCAAAGATGCGCTAGGTCTTATTTTCAGGGGATGTCTTATTTTTCCATGAAGAAGAATACGGTACACATTTATTGTTAAATGAAAATAAAGGAAATTTACTACCTGTATACGGTACGGTAATACGGTAGTTGTCAACACAAACCAGACAAACTGTGAATCCTACAGTATCAAGAACTTACTCATTTATTCAATGACAATCATGTCATCATCTTCTGGAACATCATCATAACAATCCAATTCCTGAATTTCCTGGGGAATTTCTTGTGACTCCATTTCTTTCAGAATCAGTGGACCAAATCTCTCATGTTTGGCCTAGGGGGGCCTTATTTTCAGGGGGATGCCTTATATTTCACTCAGAAGGAAACCTGTAAGTAGGTCTTATTTTCGGAGGATGTCTTATTTTCGGGGAAACACGGTAGCCAGACGGTGGGCCCTCGCTCCCCTTCTCCAGGGAGAGGAGCCGGGACTCCCTGATGCGGACCGATTCAGGGAATGTAGCAGGTGTGGCCCAGAACATTGTGTCAGCTGCAGTCAAGGTCCATGTCTGGGGACTTGGGAGTCAAATTGAATGAACTTCTACTGGTCATAGGAAGTTTGGCTTTCAATTGCTACCTGCTTTCGGGGAGCTCACTCAAATGCTTTAATAACTACACACTTTATTGTATCATTAACGGATCCATGCGCTGGATGAAATAAACCATTCAAGTGACTGGAGAGTTTGAACTAAGGAGATGGAAGGGGCAACCAGCTGAAACTCCTTTGCTGCCGGGAGACTGGGGTCCACAGGACCTGACGGGACTGGTAGGGGTTTGGGGATGAGGGACCCAGCTCTGCACACAAGCTGCCTGTGTGAGGAGGCAGTTGGCCCATAGGGACTCGGCACCTCGAGAGACAAAACTTTTCTAATTAAAGTGACTTGAAAAATAGGCTATGGCAATGATGGAAAATGAGCATTAAAAAAAAAAAATCCCTGCATTTGTGAGGTTTGGCTTGGAAAATGTCTGCTTTCCCTTGATTCAGAGGAGTGAGTTGGGGGGGAAATAGAGCTGGAAAAGTAATAAGATGCAAATCAGCCGATGTGACTTTGGTCTTAGGACATCAAGGATTGCCTGTCTCTTTGCCATTCTCATTGAAGCTCTTGTCCCTGCAGTGGCAACCGTTGAATTATTTGGTATTCAATCCAACTTTTATTTGTCAGCTTCTGTATTTTTCACCTTTAAAGAAAGTGGTTTTTGTTTTGTTTCATGTTCTTGATCTGCAGGAAGAGAGAAGGCAGAAGTATAGGTGACTAAGGAAATGTGACCATCTGGCTTGGTGAAGTTCTCAGGGCTGGGCAGGGCCAATGATTTTGTCCATAAAATGGTGTAGCTGTAAGTCGTTAATTTCATTTATACTTAGCTGTCACTTCCTGGCATTCCCTGGCATACTTGTGAATTCTTGTAACCTGAGAAGATCGAGCTTTACAAATGGTTTACAAATGTAGTGGGGTTTTTATGATAGCCAGTTTAACAATTAACGAAGACTGGATATATAAATTAATCATTGGGTTTGATTTTGCTGTTTCCTAATTTGCAGTCTATGATGTTTTTTTCCACCCATATACATTTCACAGGCCCTTGAAACACTGGGTAGGCCTCAAACCCTGAGACTTAGCATTTATAAAGGGAAAGGCATTCAGGCTCTCCCTAAGGAAAAACCCTACTCCATTATGTTGCTTTGCAGAATTCATTCTCCTCGGTGTTCGAAGTGGATTCTCACCAGAGACCCAGGAGGTGATGGCAGAAGTATAATTAATCCACTTTTCTAGGGGACTGACCAGAACTGAGAGGCCAGGAGCAGCATCCTGGGCCCGGTGCTGCCCCAGAGCTCGGGCCACCCACCTAACTGGCTCTCAGAAGACCCAACCGGGGAAGTAGACTGAGTGGGTGTTGATACGTTAATGTGCAGTCTTCCCTGGAATGGTTGAGTTTTTCCAGAAGCCTCGTGGGGAGTTGGTATGTGACCCCACTAAGATGGAACAGGGGTCCCCTACTTCCCGTGATAAGATGGAGCCAGCTGACCTGGGATAGAGGGTGGCTCCCTTGTGGGCACATGTTCCACTCAGTCACTACCCCACAACCCAGCTCCGTGCTCGAACCCAACCTGAAGAGGAGTTACCAGGCACACGACCAAGATGGCCAGATGGCGGCACAAGGTGCCCTGGCTACGCGTTCCGTGGGGCCTCGGGGACTCTGAGGTTGGGGTAACATTCTGGCTTAGATAAAAATGCATTTATCCAGTGCCTATAAAGTGTGGGCCCTGTGGCGAGGGCTTTACAGCTCATTCAACTCTCACACCATCCTCACTCAGGGTACTATCCTTACCTGCCTTTTACAGGTAAAGACACAGTACCTTGCCCAAGGTACTCAGGTAGAAAGTGGCAGGGCTGAGACTGAACCGTGGCAGCCTGACTCCAGAGCCTGGGGAGCATCTACTCTAATAAAAGGTAAAGAGGGATGTGGCCCTTAGGGACAGGACAGCTCATTGTTGATTTTCAAGTGGAAATTGTATAGAGTGGGCCACTTGTGTGGGACACTTGTACAGTATTTGAGAGGAAGGTTTCATAAAAGAGTCTTTACCCAAGTGTGAGGGCTAAGGGGAGCCCAGGAGAGAGGGTGCAGGGCTCTGGGCCAGCCGTGTGGGGGCTTTAAGACAGTAGGCCTAAAAGGGTAGGGGGAGCAGTCACTGGGGTTCAGAGAGACAGCTGGAGCTGGGAGAGGTTCCCTGGCAGGAGCTGATGATTTGGAAGAGAGGTAAACACACCCCTGCTCCCTCTCCCTCCCCC